TTTTTTTTTAATAAATAGGACAGGGGAATGAATGAGAGAAAGAGGGGGAGAGAAAGAAAGAAAACCAAAGGGGAGAAGAGACGGTGAGAAGGGGGGGAAGAGAGAGAAAAAAAAAAGAACTCCTGGGTCACCTGTATGGAGAAAAAAAAACAAAAAAAAACAAACAAACAGAGGAGACAGCAAACAACAAAGAGCAACATAATAATAGAGAAAACAAAGCACCATCACAATAAACTAGCTAGTCATAGATATCAATATTTACTAAATAATAAACGATATTGTGCAGCACGCAAGATAGACAGCGCACAGTGTGCTTTGAGGCAGCAGCCAAGAAAGCTTTAGTCCGCGTCTGTGAATACCCATGTGTGCATACCTGTGTGGATCAGCATGCTTGCATTCCAAAGGTTTCTCCATGTAATGATCTGCTAGGGAGTGTGGGGGGGCCACAGCCCCGTCCTCCAGGGTGTGAAGCGGGTATGGAGGAGATCAAAACTCCAGACATCCAGAGGCCCCCAGAACACAAGAGACCATGGAAGACCAACAGAGGGGCAGCCGCGCCACTGTTCCAGTAAGAGCTGAGGAGAGTCCCAGATGAGGGCTCGCCCAGCAGCCGCGGAGCAGAAGTCAGGGGGAGTTGCAGTGACGCGCCCGTGAGCTCCGCCGGCCCCCAGCTGTGCCTGAGTGACCGAGCCCCAGGCCGAGAGGCCGGGGGCACCCCACCTCCAAAGGGGCCCGAGCGAGCCCCAGGCCCCAGGCCCCGACAAGCGGCCGCCAAGGAGTGAGCCGGTGTGTACCCGAACGCCCACCCCCAGATACAAAGAACCACCAACACACCGACACCTGAGGGAGTCCGCCACCGGCAGGGGAAGTGGTGGTGGGTGGAGATAGGCCTCCAAACCTCAGAGAGGTGGCGTCTGATACCCAACCTGACATATAGACACAGACATACGGGCACACACAGACACAAACATCCATTCCCACCCTCATGCTCTCATATGCACTCACTCCACACTCAACCAACGTGGAGACAGACATAAAGAGACGCTGTACACACAATCACACTCCCCAAGCGTACTCTACAAACCGGGTCTAGGTACCCTTGCCCCTGGAGGGGGGAATTGCACCCAGACCCAGGTGGTGTTACCCTTTTCCCTGCGGTGGGGAGAGGCAGACCACCCCGACTCCGCAGCAGCAGGGAGGCCCCACACCCCAGACCGCAGTCGGACGGCCAACTCCTCCTACTAGCCCTCCCGCTCCAGCAGGCCGCAGAGAATGGGGGTGGGAGAAGACTCCAAACCTCCCTCCACCCGCTCATTGTAGTGTTGATGCATATGTGTTCTAAGGTGCAATTAAAACCCAGGAGGGCATGGAGCTACCTGTTGAACATTGTATAAAAACACCCCATCCTTGCTGAGTATTGTCACTGAGCAAATCCAGCCATTTATGGCCACTGTGTACACATCTTTTGGAAGCTACTTCTAGCCAGGTGTCGTGTCACAAAGCTTAAATTATTTCAAACTGGTTTCTTAAACATGACAATGAGTTCACTGTACTTAAATAGCTTCCACAGTCACCATATCTCAATCCAGCAGAGCAGGTTTAGGATGTGCTGGAATAGGAGATTTGCATGGATTTGCACCAACTCTGTGATGCTATCGTGTCAACATGAGCCAAACTCAGTTCTAGCAAGATGTAACTAATGATGTAATGGGTGAGTGGATGTTATGTTTTATGCATTTTATACAAATTTAGCCTTGAATAATAATGAAAGAAAATTGCTGCATGTTGACATGATAAAAAAGGTCCAGTTTTCAGTACTCATACTTCATATTGTCCATATATGACCAAATTCATCCTTTATGTATTTTATTATGTTTCCCTTATATCTACATAATCAGCAGTTTGCAGGAAACTTGAACAAAGTTTTTTTTTTTATCAGTTATTTGTTTATCTATTTATTTTTTGCAGGTAAGTAGTTTCTTTTGCTGAGATTATTAAATACATTTCATAAAGGAAACATCTAGAAAAAATATAGTATTTCTTTACTGCAGCAAAAATTATGAGAAGTCTTAATATTTTTTTTTCTTTTGCAGTCAGTTATAGTGAGTCTCACTTAACCATTCTTTTCTAGTAGCTGCTAGTGTTGCAAGAATCAAGGGCACCTAGAAACAGAGCCATGGGCAACTAGAGTTTGAGAAATCCTGCCTTCAAGCATCTTCTCATGTATCATTAAACTGGGAATTCCTTGACTTCCTTGACGCGTGACTTGTGCAGACAGTTGGAGACATGCTGGGACACTGTAAATGGGGAATGTGAAATCCCACCTAGTGACTCACTCCACCCAACTGCCCGTGGAGTCAGGTGGCTGTGCCAACAATTTAACTGCTCAGGATCCAAACATAGAAGAGAGCTCAGTGTGTTTATATCAAAGTGATAAGGCGATGAAGTAACCTGTATATCTTTTTTTTATGCCATCAATGCTTAAAACTGCTCTTTAGCTTTATAATACTCCTTAGGGATATCTCTATGTAGGCTCTTAGTCATCCAGGTCATAATAGCATCAAAAGAAGATGACTGCACTTCTTTAAGTCTAATTTAAAAATAAACTTCAGGTTCAGTACACTGAACTTTTCTTAAGTGAAAAGTGGAACCTTAAATAACAGTGGATAGTAAACCAAAGATATGTTTCGTATAGGTTATTTTTAATCTTTAAGTTAGTTAAGTAATTATTTTAATGGCTATAGAGCTGAGAGGCTTTTAATTAGAACAAAATGGACCTTATATCAAGATTATGGCCATAAGGCTTTTTTATGCAGTGTTTTATTTTTAGGACCATAAAAGAGACACTGAAAATGTGAGAAAAAAAAAGCATATCTGACCTTCATCTACAACCCAGAAAAAAAGCTTAAGCTTTGATGTGTCACAGTGTCTGTAGTTCAGACCTAGTTTATAGGTTCAGTCTTTTGTAAGTCATGGGAAGCCAAATGGGAAAGTCACACAGTTAAATGTCATTCATTGTTGAGATCTTAAATGTTTGGACTGATCTCAAAAGGTCAATTAATGTTTCTCCTTTTCATAGAATTGTTGTAGAAATTGATTTTTTGACTGTATTGCATTAAAGGTTGTACTACCACACAAGAAGATAACATTGCAGAAAGATATCACTTTGATATAGCAATTTTGGTAATATACAACCAAGTCATAAAATCTCCAGGATCTTTGTCTTCTGTTTTTCTGTTTTCAGTATTATTTGACTTCTATAGCAACTGAAAATGTCTTGATGATTTTCTTTATTAAATTATGTTTGGGAAATTATTATAGGTGTAAATTTACAGGATACTCATTTACTAGAACTAGACTGCACTTTCAGTCCTAATATAGGTCTTATCAAATAATACCTTTTTGGTGTGCCATTGTTATAAAATAGTACTAAAAGTCTTGTCGAATTTGCTTGGTTGTCAAAAGCACTGCATAAGAATTTCAGTCAAACCTCATGTTTAAAATATTAGTTTAGCAGTTCTTTTGGGACACTCATTAAAATTACTAACACACATTTTTTCTAATAACATAAGTTGTACTCACTTTTTGTTTTTTGTCGTCTCTGATCAGTTATCCGCCTTCAACTTGTGCTCTTCTCACTACCCAATATTTCAAAGGGGACACTCCTTTTTGTTCGGTGATAAACGTTTGGAGCACATAGAAACCCTTACATGGATAGTTGGTAAAAATCCATATTACAACGCTGGTAAAGGCTCGAGGCTCATCTTACGCATCTCTATGAAAGCGATCACTTTGCAGTTGTCACTGGAAATACATTATGACTGTTCATTCAATCTGGCATTGGAGATTCTGAGTCAACACTTTTCAAACATTACTGTTGAGAACATAAAAATCCCATCAGCACTGTATATTAATATGAAGATTTAAATTGCACCAGATTCAAATAAAACTAAGATGGATTCCAGCATATTCTCATTAATTACAATTACATTAGGAATGGTTATTACCATACTCCATGGTTCGAGGTTCAGACTTATAATGCCTATAATTTCATTTTATAGGCAAACTATCTAACTTAAAGGTTTTGACTGGCAGCTTCACGAGGTCTATAGTCATATGATCACTGTACTATGGACTTTATTGGTCAATAAACATTAACATGAGACATTTTATTTGGTAAAATAATCTCTAATTGAAATGAACAGATTGACTGTTCCAATAGACCGCTAAATGTATCAGCAGAAATTCTCACAGCATGCCTTTGGTATTTGGGAGGTCACACTGTGTCTGCTTTGGCATTATGGAAAGGTGGTTGCTCGTGGTGTTGGTGGTATGTTGGACTCTGTGTACTGAGCAGTGGTTAGCAGTCAGAGGTTAAACAAGCATGGCATATCAGCGCAGTTAGAATAGTTACTCTGACCTTTTTAAAGTAAATGACTCAACTGCAAGAAAACTCTGATGACATCAGGAATATCACCACTGAGCTGACAATGGAAGGAAATGCGGTAAGGACTTTTACATAATCTAGTAGACATTTACACAATTTCCTTAGGGATTAATACAGTATTCTGATTGTGAGACTGTGTTAATATAAGATCATTGCTGCATTATTTTACTCTATTCAGTAACTATACACTGCTAAATGAACAGGTTAGATCTAGTACAGTAACTATTCTGATTGTCAACATGGACTTCTTTCATAGTAGCTTTACAACACTAGATAAAATGCAAATCGATGTCTTTTTATTTAGATCTACATGAATAAGTATGTAAAGGAAATGGATATGTGGGAATGAAATAAAATGCACACTTGGATCATAGGTGCTTGATGTAGAACTGTGACGTGCATGTTGTCATGGGCTCATAAATTGGAGCCATGTGGTGCTTGAAACCCATGCAATGCTTTGTATCAGTGAAAAATAGAAAAAGTTCTCAATAAAACAAGAATAAGTGAGAAGGCAGAACACTGAGTACACATCAGTTTGTTGATTTATTGCGGTTACAATTTGACAGATGTTTTTATACTGAAGATTGCCACTTCACTCATTTTAATAGTTATTATTACCAGTGACAGGGTAACAATTGTAGATATTGCACTTCAGACACATCAAATGAGTTTGCATTAAAGCTCTTTTTTTTTCTTCCCACACTTTGTATTGAAAGTATACTATTTCTGTTATATAGCAAACCAAAAAATTCATTTTATTTCTGTATTTTCCACAGGATCTCAGTAAGAAGAAAAGCTCCACAAAGGTTTGTTGCCAATTAATCTGTTCAGGAAAAAAAGCAAAACAATTATAAGAATAAACCCTTCATCACAAACTACAAAAATATAATAATAATCTTAAATAAAGCTTACCTCTGACAAAAATTTTAGCGGAACACTCTGCCTTGCCAAAAGAGTTAACTGCGACTACCTTATATTCCCCACTGTCCTTTGGCCGAACTCGGAGAATATACAGGGAGCAGACACCAAAAGAGTTGGTGATGTAGTAATTATTGTCTGAGTTGATGCAGATGTCATTCAGGTACCAGGATACAGTTGGGGCGGGATATCCTCTAACGGCACATGTCATAAAGAGTTGGTAACCTTTAGGTGGTGTGTGGACTTTCAGAGGGACCAAGATAGATGGAGGTCTCTCAAAGGAGACCTCTGTGGAAATAATTCCATTTGAAGTTACTGGAACTTAAAGAGAAGGAGCGTTCAAAGTTAGTATTTAAAGTCAGATTTTAATAATGTCAATAAAGGTCCAAGAATATTTGCAAAATTCCTTCGTACTAATCACATTTCAAATAGCAGCATTATAACAGTTTTACATATCCAGTGCAACCCTGAACTTTTCTTGATATGTGGTAGAGCTCAATGTGAGAATACATATCCTGTCAGCTCCCTAATGCAGTCTGTGCCTGTTTGTCTGGGAAATGTCAGAGTGAGCGAATGTAAGAATAATAATAATCATCTGGAGAATCATCTGGAGACAACTTCTTCAGTGACGCTGAAGAAGTTGTCATAGTATGGCGTTCCACACATGATGCAGCTAAACAAAGCCTTTATATTGTGTGCTAAATTTGAGAAAGGACAACATCATAACTGTGATGACTCTGCCCAGTCTGCCTGATGTGTGCTTTTGAGGTTGGCAGGGAATGAGGTAAGGTAGTTTCTGAGCAGGAGCGCAACTGTTGGCTAATTGTTTTAAAGTGCATGGTAGGTATTGTTCTCTCTTGTCCCACCAGGTGAACATATGTTTTGCTTAAGTTTTATTTTGTTTTCTTTTTAAAGATGCAGGACTTTTTTTTTAAGTTTAGAAAAATTTATTTAATTAAATTAAACTCCTTTATCTATTAGGCTCAGGAAGCATAAGTATACATTGGCATATTTAATAAAATGTATCCCATTCTTTTAAGAAAACTGACAAAACACATCACACAAACAAATCAGAATAATGCAATCATTAACAAAGACATAGCAATAAAAAGAATGATGAGATGATTTCTGTTTTAAAAATGTATATACTGTACTTTTAGTTCTTAATACAGTGTATTGTCCACTTTTAACTTGCAGTCTTCAATCAATCAGAATCAGAATACTTTATTGATCCCTGGGGGAAATTATTTTTTGTTACAGTGCTCCATTTTAAACCAACATTAAGACAAGACAGACAATACGCTAACTAAGAATAGTACAATATATACATATATATACATACATACATAAGTCACTTATAAATAAATAGTTGGAAAAGAAACATGTGTAGTTGTAGCAGCAAACAGTGTGTTAAGTGGATGATATAATATAATACCCAGGCCAACATATAATATAATATGTTGGCCTGGGTTAGCCAGGCAGGTTTTAAATACACGAGGAAAACCTCAGAATCATTCTAACAGTTTGATTGTTCTTGATTGTTCAAATTATGGCACCTCTTACATTATTATTATTAATGTAGGGTGTGTCTTCAGTGATGACAATAGATTTTAAATGACACAAAATGTATTTCATGAAAATGTTTGTTTTCTGACAAATTAGCTGTTATGGTCACTGGAAAGCACCTAAATTATCAAACTAATGCACCCTATAGTTTAGTTCACCGTTATGGCATAATTAAAAAATAACTAACCCACCTTTATTGATGTTGGTGCCCCATGTAGGTGACGGAGATGGATCGGACAGTCCCATATCATTCTTGGCATAGATTCGAAAATGATACTCTGTCCCAGGAAGGATGTTGCTAGCTGTGTATGTGTTAGTGAATAGACGGTCTGCTATAGTTTTCCAAACTCTGTTGAGGGAGTCATGTTGAGAAACCATGTAGTACAGGCGGTCATCAAGCTCCTGGTCTGGTGAGGGAGCCCATGATATCACTAGCTTTCCATGTACTGTTTGCTCTAGTTCCACAGGCCCTGGAACCTTGGGTTCATCTAGCAAAAAACAGAATAAGTTACAGAAAGTGGGATAATTATTTTGCTAATACTCTGGTTCAGTTCGGCAAATTGAATAACAATATAGTCTATTATATATTTCACAAAGTTCAGAAACTAGTAGCGATACAACCTGTTTTACATTAATCATAGGCTGATATCTATGTCCTTACCTGTGACTCTAAGGTCAATGTCAAATGAAGCCTCACCCACAGAGTTTTTGGCTTTAATAGTGTAGATGGCTGAATCCGAGCGCTTTGAATTGGGAATAACAAGCTGAGATGTTCCCTCTGTATTTATGATATTAATCCACGCAGATATTTTCTCGTCATCCTTCAGCCAAGTGATCTGAGGTGGAGGTTCAGCCTGAAGATATCAATATCAGATAAATTACCTTAAATGTGAGGCAAATCCTCCCTTGTCATGCTGTGGTGAACTTACAACTCAAAAAATATGACAAGGGAAGTAAATGCAGAAAATACTGGCATGACAGATTTAAGAGTTATTAAGGGATGAAAAAATACTTGGAAACCTGATTTTGGGTTCATTCATACCTCAAAGCAAATTTTGATACGAGCAGAATTTCCTGCTCTGACAACAATGAAGTCCTCTGGATCCTTAAAACAAGGTCTCACTGGATATAAAACACATAAAACATTCAAATTAATGCAGGAAAAAAAAATCCCTGCTCTGGATAACTAAGGTAATCATTTATATTCACACTGAAGCATGTCAAGACTTACTGTTGGGATTCTTTGCACACACCATCGCAGATGGAGGGCTTGGATCTCCAGATCCTGACTCATTGATTGCTGTAACCCTGAACTCGTACTCTGAACCCTCAGTGATATCTTTGACTGCGTACTTTATGTCTGGAAAAATATGATTAATGTCAAGATAAAAGAGTCAATTTTCTTTAATGAAAGGTGCTAATTGTTCTTTAGGAGTAGAAATTATTTTTGTTTTACAAACCTTCAATAGGTTCATTAACTGCATTTAGGGGAATCCACTGATTTGTGTCCTTCTTCTGTTTCTCTACTTGGTACCCAATGATCGGCACTCCTTTATCATCCTCTGGAGGGGTCCAGGTCAAGTTGATACAGGTTTTTGAGGCACTTACCACTTTAGGAGCACCAGGAGGGCCGGCGAGTACTATAAAATAGTGAGAAGTCTAATTAATTAAATACTCTCATCATTAATAATTAGGACATACTTAAATTAATCAAAGACATTTGCAAGCAGTTTCTCTTAAAGAGAGCATAAATTCCAGCAATGATAAAATGTTAGACTGCTATAGTAGCTGCAGTGATAAAGTATTTAACGCAATCACAAAAGCTACATGAAAGCATTTTCATTTGGATTTGTCGAGAAACACTAAACACGACTTCATTTTTCTACACTCACTCATTATGCCAGCCATTATGCTTTCAGCTGTCTCCAGGGCATCACTAATACCCTCAGGGTTTTCTGCATAGATGCGATAGTTGTATTTCTTTCCATGTGTCACATTCCTGTCCCTGAAGGAGGTCTTGTCCGCTGAGACATCTCCAAGTTTTGTCCACAGACTCTGTCCTGTCTGCTGCCGTTCTATAATGTAGTTGGTTACAGCAGAGCCGCCGTCGTCTTTGGGAGGGTTCCATTTAATCTCAATTATTGATGAGGTAGTTTCAACAGTCTTCACTGGACCCTCTGGTGGACCGGGTCGATCTAGGTATCATGTTAAATTTTAAACATAAGTATGGGAGTTAACAAATATTAGAAAGTTTATTGATTTACCCTTTAGAAAATCTCATTTTCACATATATTTATCTTTGTTTCCATACCAAGCACAATAAGCTTAGATGTGGCCTCTATGGCTCCAAATGGGTTTTTCAGCTGGATCTTTATTTCCCCTGTGTCTATCCGCAGGCAGTCTCTGAACAACAGGCGGCTGTGATTGCGCTCCCTCACAATCTTAACTCCTCCTCCATCTTTCAGCTCAGTGCCATCCTTGAACCAGTTGACCTCCAAAGACTCCTGAGGAGGAAAGGGCATCTTGAAAGCAGCATTTTGTCCCGCTCTTACTATCACAGGTTTAGAGAACTTGTGAAGGTCATCTGGATCAAACTCAGGTACATCTATGAAACACAAAGCACAAGTCCATTTTAAAGATCTGTGACTGTTTTGCCATTTAATAGAAATGTAACAGCGAGAGAAAGTATATTATACCTCCAACTGTAACCTTCCCTTGTGTGCTGTGTTCCCCTGATGTAAACTGATAAATTCCAGAGCTGTCATCACTGCAGCTTTTAATTCTTAGCTCATGAGAATTTCCATCTTTGGTTATGGTGATCCCAGCACCTGAGTTTAACTAAAAAGGAAATTAAAAAAGCAAAGGGAAAGTACCTGATATGGCAATTTTGTTAACACAATTTGTTATATAAAATTAGTTAATGATAGAAACATACTGTAGGTAGAGTTTTCTTGTTTTTCATAATACTGACTTATTCCAAATGCTATCTAAAATTGAAAAATATAGATTTAATAATACTTATTCATTGGCTTTACTTGCTTTCCATCTTTGAACCAGGTGCCATCACTGTCAATGTTCATCTTCACTTGCAATTCAGCTGATTTTCCTCGAAGGGCATAAATATTAGAAAGTCCAGAGGTAATTCCAGGGTTTCGAATAAAACATACATTGATGTTAATGTGTTATTTTTTACACTTCTGTTAAAGTCATGTAAGCTACTATATAGATATTTTATTAGTCTTTCTATATTGTTAGTACTGTAGTGCTTTTTCAGTTTTAAATATCTGGCATGCCTGCATATGCAAGTGGTTGATTTAGCATTTCACTACCACTGGTTTCTTCAGGTGAGTGGCCTGATGGCAATAACAACAATAAGTGATTTAAACTTGTCTGTGGCAGCTTCTCGTTTTGATGTTTCACCTATGTGCGATCAGAGACAGTATGACAATGCTATTATTATTATTCTGTGTTTGTTGATAATTTCAATGACTTGCAACTCAGTTTCAGTACTTTTATTTTGTCATAATAAAAATAATGATTTTACAACATCAAAAAAAGGTAAAGTCAGCTAAAATCTATCCTTGAAGAGGTAGTTACATAATGAACTGATTACATTATGAAGTTCAGCCAAAATATTACTGTGACCTCACTAGCAGTTTTATATTTATATTTTGGCAAATGTTTACATAAATAATACTTTTAAATAGTTAGACGTAAGAAGGACTTTAGGTCTCAAAGTAATTTTAGGATCTTACCAGTGGTTGTTGCCTCCACAACTGGTGGATGTGAACCTGTCATTGTTGGTTCATTTACCACTCCTCATCAACCATAAAAAAAACAAGTCAGAGGTTGATAGATTAACACATTATAATTACCCACATAATAACAAAAGTTGACTAACCACATAAACAACATAATATTCATATGAAAAGGTGCATCACACTTATCTAAAATGACATTTTCTCTCTTGGTTAATGTGGTTAATGTTCATTTAAAACCACTTCTGGGCATTCTTACTTGGTTTGGAAGCTGCAGATCCAGCCACAACTGGAGTGTCAGTGGGTGCAGCAGGTGGAGGTGCAGCCTCTTCAGAAGCTTTCATTTGCTCTTTTCTTTCCTCTTTCTCCTTTTCTAGTTTTGCTTGTTGCTCTTTGGCAATTTTCTGTAAATCCTGCCCAGATCCCCCTGCCCTTGTTGTTTTCCTTGCTGTCTTTTTACCCTTTTGTGCATCTTTATCAGCTGAATTGGGAAAGACAATTAGATTTGTGACAGTGTGCACTTAAAAAAATGTATTTTATGTCATGAACTCAATAATAGATTAAATTAATCTAATCTTTCAAAAAATATTGTCAGTTAATTATATCATATATTATAAAATAGCCTTTTGGTGGGAGATGATATACCTTCAATGACAAGCCAAGCACTGCAAGATTTTATCCCTGCACAGGCACAATAAATTCCTTTATCTGCCACCATGCAGTCTTTAACCAGCAGCCTGTGAATGAGCTTGTCTTCTGAAACCTCAATGTCATATTTATCTCCCTGTTCCAGTGGCATATTTTTGCCAAACCACAAAATCTTGGCAAAGGGGTTTGACAAGACACACTCAAATATGGCATCTTCTCTCTCTTTTGCCTTTACTTCCTGAATCTTCACCAAGAAATCCACCATGGGGACTAAAAAATAAGACATTTGTTTATTATACTACATTATACATGAATTTATTTCAACATCCTTCATTTTGTTGTGTCATGTGCAATTGTAAAAATGCTTACTTTTAAAATCAGTGGAAAACATATTGACATCCTCGACATCCAACTGGTACAGCCCGGCATCCTCTGGCATTAGGTCTCTCATGCTGAAAATGTACTTTTTTCCAATTTTCTTAAGGCTGTGCTTGAGCTTATCACCCAGTTCTTTTGTGTAAGGGATCATTTCACCATCCTGTGGAGTGTGTGTATATACATAGATTGTTATTTTCATATGTTTTTGTACTTGCATAGCACAATGTAGCTGCAAGACAATAACAAAACAAAAAAGTCTTATTTGATTAAATATTGATAACATTATAACAGGATTTCATCAAAAAAAAAGTAAAAACTCATTAACAAAGCTGCATAAAAAACCCCCCAAAAAAACCAAAAACAAAAACAAAGCTGCATATCTAATGTTTAAACATAAAAAATTAATTCAAAGGTTGTTATCTGGTATATATCATCTAATTATCTTGATGTATCTTTGCAAGCACTGGTCATATTATGGCTGTGGTATTTTGGGGTGGTCCTAGATAATGACTCTATTCATTGTTTTCTACTATTATGGTTTAGTAGCGTTACGACTTCATTCTATAACTTACCTTGTACAGGAATATAGAGCTGCTTTGTTCAATGAGGTCCATGTCTATCTCAAAGGATGCAGTGCCATCTGCATTGACCTGAATAGGTCTCAGATTAGAGAGGCTTTTGACGAACTGGGACAAAAACAGAGGAAGTAATAAAAGGAAAGCAAACAGACATTTTTTTTGCAACTAAATAGCTTTATTTATTTTTTCAAGAATAAACTTATAAACAAATTTAAGCTTGTATAGTCAACATCAAGCCTCATAAAGGAAGTAAAAAAAAAATCATGAACCGAATCACTGACCTGTGCTTGTTCTTCCTCCCTTTCTTTCTTCATTTCGTTTAATTTCTTGAGCATCCAACGATAGTCAGTTACCCCAAACTCTGCACAGATTCTCTCATAATCTTTCTTGTCAGCGCTAAGTAAAAGCTCCCAAAATTTTGGATCCATTTCTCCCTCTTTTTTCTCAGGTTGCTCAGATTTGGGATGAACCTTGCTGGAAATGGATATAGTAAACAATTTGTAAATCTATATATGACGCATGGTGATCAGTAGACTACCTCAATCCTACCTTTTCCTTTTTAGAACAGTCTTAAAATCCCCTTCTATTGCATCAGCTGCTTGCTTTTGGGCTTTGTTTTTTTTAAAACCCACTAGAAAGTAAAAAAAGGATAATACATTATCAACTATGTAGGAAAAAGTGAAATGACAGAAATAGCCTTAAGCGGAGAAGTAACAAAGTATCAAATTTGGCAGAATCTGCATGCAGACTCAAATACGTGCAGATTTAATAACTCTATGATTGCTTTCATCACACTATCTCCATATCTATACCTTCATAACCTTACCTTCAATCACATTTAAAACAACTGTGACCATGGCTTGTCCATATTCATTTGTGGCGAAGCATTTGTAGGTATCTGCTTGATCTGGGGCAACATTTGGCATCTGGACAGTAAAAGATATACTGAGTGTAATGGACCTAGATAATTAACAACCATCCATCCATTCGCTTCCGCTTATCCTTTTCAGGGTCGCAGGGGGCACTGGAGCCTATCCCAGCTGTCATAGGGCGAAAGGCGGGGTACACCCTGGACAGGTCGCCAGTCTGTCGCAGGGCCAACACACAGGGACAGACAACCATTCACACTCACATTCACTCGCACATTCACACCTAGTGGCAATTTGGATTATCCAATTAACCTATCCCCACAAGCTGCATGTCTTTGGACGGTGGGAGGAAGCCGGAGTACCCGGAGAGAACCCACGCAAACACGGTGAGAACATGCAAACTCCGGCCTGATGGTGGAATTGAACTCAGGACCTTCTTGCTGTGCGGCAACAGTGCTAACCACCGTGCCACCGTGCTGCCCCTTTACAATTTACAATTAACAACCAAATGTGTTAAATTTCATTTTGATCTAATTTATCACAATTCGTGGTGTGGAAGTCAATAATGTGGTTATTATTGAAATTTGTATAACTGTACTTTTTGTAACAAATATTATTTACCTTTGATGTAATCAAATATCTTTGTCTTCTAGATTGTCTTTACATTATCTGCTTCTCCTTTATGTGAACATGTTGCTTTGGTTTTACTGTATCACTTGCCTCAAATGTATGCTCATTGGAAGGGGAATCGTATTTACTCTGGTACCGGGAAGTATCAGACACATCTCCGTTATTTCTGCTCCATGTTACAGTTGGTGTTGGGTCTCCAATGACAATAGCTTTAAAGAAAGCAAATTTCCCTGTAAAAAAAGAAAAGAAAAAGACAGGTCACTCCCTGGAGACAGTGAAGAGATCCAAATATATACGGTGACATTTAGTATGGATATTAAATTGAAATGGGTGAACAGTACCTGTTAATGCATTCACATTACAGAGGCAAAAAGATCATTTGTGTTATGCAGAGTAGATTTGGTAACATTGTCACTTCTGCAGATGTTTAGTCACGGTTTTGCAATTCTACTGACACAGGCTTCTTGCTTTTGAAAGGCAGAGACTTTTTCTTTGGGCAAATTGAATTGATCTAATCCATTTAGCAGAATCACATATTTCCTTGGGATGTTTTTCCCCTGAATATTAATGTTTAAAATTATTATTTTTTTTGCTATGAAACATACCCTCTTGGATGGTCAAAGCAATTGGCTTGCGGGTGAAGTCTGGATGGCTCTTTCCCTCTGGCAGCGTCTCGATAAACTGTGTAATCATCACTCCTGGGACCTTAGATTTTTTCTTGATCCCAACTGTCAAGAATTGGAAAATGAAATGTCAGTGGCAATACATGTGACACTTGGAGCAAGGAAAAGGATGAAAATCATAGCCGTAATTGTATTCACTGTCAAAATCTGTTGTTTTGTAAGCAAGCCCCCTTAAACCATTGCTGAAAACACATTCTATTACTTGATATTTTAAAATGTTAATGTTACTCACCTTATCACCACTCTGAGTTATATACTAAATGTAGCGTTTGCGTTTCAGTCAGATTTACCTCTTTTACATCTTCTGTATGAATCCATATTTAAAATTCAGCCTGAGAACAGATATTTAGTAATACATACATATTCACACAAATTACATGCGTATCAAGAAATTCATTGCATATGAGTTTTTGATGCCTTCATGAGCAGTAGGTAGATAAATGGCTAACATTTTTTTTCTGTTGCTTTCTTTACCTTCTTTACCACTGTAGTTCTCTGCAGCAGGAGCTCATAAGGCATATGTTAAGAAGAATGTACTGCATGGATCAGCATAGTAGTAACATTGGATTCGACTTAAAAGTTTAACTGACCCAAAAAACAAACAAGCAAGCAAACAAAATAAATAAATTGACCTGCAGAATATTTAATGAATAGTTATGCTATATAACTATTTAAAAAGTAGTAACAATATATAATCTGCACTGTAATGGTTACAGCACACATTTCCTATTCTATATTGCTACAGCTTATCAATGAACGTGTGCTTGCTTAAACCTGTAATATTGTCTGCCTGATGTATGGTATAGTCTTAGTAATAGGAGGAATGTAATAGACAATGTACATTCATGACTAGCAGATAAATTCAGAATTATGCAAATATACCTAATTTAATAATTTTCTCTCTAGAGTCATAGTACTTATTTAATTTGGTTAACACTTGCATGTTGCAGATTGATGTTAAAATTAGAATAATAAAGCAAAAATCATTCGTTTAAATTTGTACAGACAGTGTTTTGCTAGTCGAGTATTCTGTAGTGCTGTAGACAGTTATATGTAGTGCTCACCTTGGCCAGCGGCTGTCCCGTCTGTCGCTTTTGATTTTCTAATCATCTTGGGTCTTTTGATTCCTGAATGGATTCAGCAAGAATTGGGGAGAAAAGTTAATTTATTTAGGAAACATAACACAATATTTTCAGTGTACTAATTTATTAAAATAGCAGGAGCATTTTTTAGTTTTGTATTACTGGATTATTGAGTATTATTAAGTATTAGTGAAAGAAATTGTTTAAAGATTCAGTTGAAACTGAGACTCAAAAGTTATCTGGCACCGAACAGCTTAAGAGAGGCGTTGCGAGATGTGACCAACCTTTCATTAAATCATGATGTGCAGGAAAATTTGGCCATGTTTGAAAATGTTCTTCTTTAGAAACCACAAAATTGTGAGTTTTTTGTTTTTTTTCTGGGGGACTGATTAGTTGAGGACAAATTCAAAACAAAGAAGGGTTAAAAATGTAGAACCTGTTATGAGAGTTCTTAAGGGAAATACTGTGACTGGTGACAAATTCAGACTGACTACACGGCAAAAGACACAGAACATGGACATCTGTTTTTGCATGTCGTCTAACTCTTGCCCTATGCCAAGAGTAATTAAAGTAAGGAAATCAACTTTTTAAGAATAGCTGAGGGGAAAAGCCCATATTTCTTACCTCACTTTATGATATTATTGTGCAAACTATTATTAATTTGTAGTTTTCTTCTTGTGTCGTTAAGATACAGCAAGCTGACGTGTTGTTTAAATGATTACATGCTTAGCAAATTCACATTTTTATGATCTTAAAGATCCATTCACAGCAGGGATCTCTACATGGCTTTCATTACCCACATGATTGCTATACTTAGAATGACAAATGTCACTTGACTAAAATAGACTGAACATTAATTTTAATGGATTCAGTGTTGCTGGGGCTTAAGCGGATTTGCAGAAATGTTAATATTTCGTTAGAACATTAATGCATAATTGCAGGAATTAGATATTTTTATCAGTGCTGGTTTTAAGAAAGATGAGATTGTATGAAATGATACGAAAACTAACAAATTCTGTCAATAAATCCTTTTATAACCATCACTCTGGTTGAAATAAATGATAAGCTAATGTATTTATTTATTACTTTTATGGGTTTTTTTTCTTTTTTTTTTCTTTTTTTTTTGTTTCCATATGTTGAGAAACATCAGCTTGATAGATTTTATAATGATAGGAAGAGATCTGGGATTATATACTGTTTAGTATTGTATGCTGAGATTGTCAAAGCTGTCAGTCAAAACAAAGTCTGACAGGGAAAAGAAAATAAGAGAAAAAAGGAAAAGAAAAACTGTACATGACTATAGGTTTAAACATGAAAACATTGCTTGGATCTCTAATTTTATATACTGTAAAAAATATCATTTGACAGAGAAATGCTAATGTTCCCAAATGTTAAATGTTCCCTCTTACACTTTAGCAGTTTCATCATCACACCTACATATACTGTAGTTTTTAGTTTGGTGGAGAGGGAATTTTTACAGAATTTGTAAATTCCTGTTGCTAGTGTTATGAAATTAGTTGCTTTGAGTGGATGTGAGTCACAGTCGATGAAAATTTGTTTCCCAAAACTCAGTGTTTCCAGAGCACTTTAGTTCGACCCATTTCCTGTGTCCCAGGACCAGTTAAAAGTTCTGTGGGCTGCGTTGAACTTTATGTCCGAATGAAATAACCTGTTTGATGTGTCAGTGCACAATGCAGTACACAGTACAGAGCTAATGTTCTGAATCATTGATCTAACAGCAGGGAAGGGTGTAAGACGTCTGCAGCTGTTATGTCAAAATCCACCAAACTGTGTAAAGCTCTTTCACATATGTGTGAACAAGAAAAACTGTTTCTGAATGCCTGAGTAACTTGACTAATCATCATAATTTTTCAGTCTGTATAGCTCTACATTGTTGCTGATTAATTAGATACACTGACTTTATATTTCAGATGCGTGCGACATCTTTCATTCTCATGTATAGTATTTGCACAAACCTAGCACATCCCGGTATACACATGTGATATTCTAGGGTTTCAGCGCTTCATGGCTGTTGGAAGATGAGAAAACTGGACTGTCATATGATAGGTCACATGCCACATAAAACTGTGAACATCCCATCTTGCACATCTTAATATGCTTGTAAATCACTTGACAGGATAATGTCAAACTGAGGTGAAACTTTTTCAGTCTAGCAAATTAAATCACTATAGATTACCACATTTTCTATCTATGGGCACCAAACGAATAACCTTCATAATCAGTCCTTTTTAATTTTTGGTGCATTTACTTATGATTATAGCAGCAACTAAATGGTGAAAAGCCTTTAACTATTTTAAAGTATTCAGTAAATATAACAGAAAATGGTTATTGCTAAGCACATTGTTGTATTCTTGTGTTCTTAGGATAAATGGGATGAGATTAAGCCCATAACTTCAGCTCCCATTGTGGTTGTTCTGCAAAGTTATTTTTTATGGTCAGAAAAGCCTTTGAGATTTAGATTTTTTTTATTTTTTTACTCTAGAAATTATTTTTTTGTGTACTTGGCTTCTAACACACTCCTTACACAACCAGTTTAGGACTCCTTGCTGCGTGAGTTGTTTTTATAGGATATAATATCGCCTTTGCTGATGTTAACTTGTCGATGTTAATGCCACCAGCTGCTTCTCTGACTGGAGATGAAATACAGTACGGGATAATATACTCAGAGACTGAGAGCATCATAAAGATGATTAAAAGGGAGACACCGTGAGGGGCATGTTCACAAAGCATGTGGCTATCTACGGAGATGACGCTGATGCCAGTAGCTTAGAGTGCCAGGTTTGCTTAAATTGAATTATTCCAGAATTTCACCATAAACTATTTTGTATTTTTATGCAGCTCATTTATCTATTTAAATCTTCATTTAAAACTTTTAGGGGCCATAAATTGACAAGCTGATGGATGAAAAATTAATAGAGCAGATTAGAGTAACTATTCATGAAGAAAAATTAAAGTTAGGAGTTTTAAAAAAATAACATGCTCTCAAAAGGATGGTTCTTGGTTTTAGGTATGGCTGTGATATTTTTTCTACGTGCACGGACATAGGGCAAAGTTATGAGTAGTAAGGATTTTTTGCCAACTGGCTACAATTATATACAAGATCTGGAAATCACATAAAGTTCATTTTATTTGAACTCACGTAAGCAGTTACGTTTGTATACTGATGTGCATTATTGTTGCATTTTCAAAATTTTTGAAAAACCTTTTGAAATGCATATTTAATGAATCATAGGAGCTGAGTAATTAGAAAACAACTTCACTGTACTTAAATAATGTGAATGATGGAAAATTAAACCACTTTCATGTGCACAACAAAGAACTTTTATTAAGTCAGCTCAGTTGTGTTTATAGGCAAATACTTTGCACAGTTTATCACATGGATTTACTGTTATCTTTAAGATTTAATATGGCCCAGAACTGAGTGTTAAAAACTAGAGCCATGTCTTAATACTTAACACCTTCATCTAAGACTGGTGATGTATATAAGATGAATGATGAACTCACCACAGTACTCCTGTGATCCTGTTCAGTGGTGCTGCTTCCCTGGCTGATATTCGAGTGTTGCCTTCCTGGTCTACAAGCTATTAAATCCTTACAGGAATGCCAATGACTCTGCGACAAGCTCCCACGTTGTCAGACACAGTGCCTGCCAAGACAGGGGATTGCTTTTTTTGTTTTTGGCATAAATCACAACCTCTAGATAGGAAGACGGAAAGCCAAGGCTGCCTGCAAGCCTTGTGCTGAGATGACCATAACTGGGACTTCTTGTTGACAAATACATAAGCTTCCTCAGGACATTTACTGTGAATGACACACCTAAAAATGAATCTTGTTATGATCACACATACCACTTTTACAAGACTTTACATTTTACATTCTCCCTGTTTCAGTTCCTTTATTCTGTCTCTTTCACACATTGTTACAGATCATTTAGAAATACTCAACAAAGCAAGTGTGTACACTAGTGTTAAAGTCTTCAGCCACCCCCATTACTTTATACTTTGCTTAAAAAATGGGAAATACAACTGTGACCACTACATCCTTCATACTTGCAGCTGACAGCCTTATACCCTCTAGTATTTATTCTTCAGTATTTGAATGGGCTTAATTAGCCACATGACTTGGTAGTAATGCTCTGAGAGGACTATAGGTGAGCTTTCTTCTGGGATGGTTGAACTAAAAGGGCCAAATGATAACAAATATGCATGGAAAAACAATAATATATACCAAACTATATTCTTTATATACATTGCTGCACAGGAAAGGTGCAAGCCACTGACAGATTTATTTCCTCATCTTTTGCCCCGAGAGCCTTCTGGTGGGCCCTGTGCTCTCTGTCTGGCACCATGGAGCCCGACTGGCATTTGCTATAGAATACCAGAACTGGCAGGTCCACCTCATACTGTTTACAGACATAAAAGGGTGTGGAGAAGCTGTTGAGAACATGCTGCCTGTAACATCATTCAGCATGACCTGTTTGAGAGTGTGTCAGTCATGGTCTGGGAAGTCATACTGTATCCTTTCAGGGATGCACAGACCTCTACAGATCTGGATTTTTGGGGTGTCTTTGATTTCAGACCCCCATAGATTGATCATTTTCAGTGCAGTAAATTATGTAGGATCTTTTCATTTCTAATACATTACCCATTCCATAATGGGGGGTGGGATTCCTGCGATGAAGGTGATTCCTTTTAATTGAGCAGTGTATTAACCTATAAGGACAGCTTTTCTGTTCTGCTGTCATTAAAATTTCTTCTTTTTCTTTTTTAATGAATCACCTTTGAAAGGGTGGGAAATCCTCTGAGGAATTAAAGTACTGCTCTTTCCAAAGCAACTTTTCTTGAGCACAGGACAGCAATCATTCCCACGAATTAAGACTGTATTATTTCCATTGTTTCTGTATTTACAGTAACAATGCAATTCTACATAGTTGAACTACACTGTTACCTCCAATTGATGTTATTTTATACATCCAAAAGAATGTTTAATAGGGTAATTTTGTATTGACCAAGAATTGTAAAACTACTTTTAACACATCACAGAAAATTCAAAAATTTATTTACTTTATTAGTATAAATATCTTTTCTGTTTAACGCACTTACCACCTTGGGGCTGTTTACTTACATGTTAGGAGTCATTCCGACTTATCTTCGTTGGCACTTTAGACCACTGCCCAGTTATTGTGGTACCATAATAACAGAGTTATGCTCAGTCTGAGCATGAACTTGTGTGTGCGTGTGCGTGCGTGTGTGTGTTCAAGATGTTTAATAAAAGTCGGATGTGTGACACAAGAACTATGAGGTTCTCAGACAGTGAAAGCTGATATGAGAGGCTTGATGGGCTTGGCGGCATTTATTGCAAAAGGTCACAAAAGTCAAAAGCTTCAAATTCTACCCTCCAAAACAATGATGAAACAAGCTAAAATTGCACAAAGCAGTATAGTCTGAACTAAGGTAGTGTGTTATCTGTGTGTTGCCATCACTTTTTAAAGGTTTTTCTCCCCTTTTCGTTTAAATACATAATACGTCAGTATACTTAGTATATTAGAACTACAGTTAAATGGCTGAAAGATAAATCATTTATGGCATATATTTTTATGTTCTCAAATGAGTGCTTATTTTAGGTTGTTAAATTAAGGGTATGCCTTTGTTCCTTACTGCATTACTACAGAGAATTTCTATATTTCTATATACCATTGGTATGTGTTTATAGGTTTCCAAATGTCAAAGCCTAATACAGGAAACTCCTACTAATGATGTGTGCCACTAATAATAGGATACAGTGTGGCTACTGATAATGTTTGCATGTCTTAGCACTTTATAAAAGATGTATAGTTATTTCACAGTTGTACTTTGTCATTCACATGAAATTGTATCACTTATGACTTTCCCTAGCAACTTGCAACACCAGAGTAAAAGGTAAATTTGAAGCCAGGCATGCATTTTCACACAGTATACACAGGTTTGTAGGAAAACTGAATGTTTTTGCCCTAAACAGTGTTTAAAAAACACATCTAATGTTATTGGTGGTTTAAAATAGCATATCTATATTGTCTTTGTTTTAAAATCCCTTCCCAGACCCACTCACATGCTGGGCCATTTTACCTCAGGAAATCCCATGAGGGTGAGGCTAGGTTTCACAGTGGGTTCACCCGAAGCCTTGGTTGATTATGACCCACACCCGTTTTCACACCTTGGCTCGTGTGATTAGGTGGAGGATCAATAGGGGATCCATGCCCCCCTTGGGGGACACTCCCACAGGGCTTAAAAAAATCTGGGTCTCCACCATCTGCTCTTAGAGCTGAAGAAGCTTCTTGAATGAGAGGTGAGGTGTCTTGAAGAAAATTAAAGAAGTCCGGATCCTTTTCTTTCAAAGCTCTTTAGATTGTTTGTGGGGGTTTTCACACCACTTTTGTTCAAATGCAGCATTTTGCGATGTTCTAGACTTCAAGTTTCTCAAGCGTATTAAATGAAAATATTAAAACAATCCTTATATTATAATTGTAGCACAATTATTATTTTTTTGCACAGTGAACTCTGAGCCAATGTTTAAACATGAAAATCTAAAAAAATAATATTGGTAAACTATATAAACTATAAAAGATAAAAGCCTGAAATATTTACTGATCTGTCTTACCATCAGACTGAATCAGAATCTTTAATTTGGAACAAATACATTGAAAAATGTCTAAATACTGATTAGATAAAATTTGAAAAAAAAAAAAAAACACAAAACAACTTCACATTGCAAAAAAAGTTTCATGATTGGAGATGGAATGACGCAGATCTTGAAAATAAAAGAAAACATTCACATATTGAACTAAATTGTTCAGAGTACTATCAGGACTACTAATATTTTTGTTTTGTAGTTGTAGTTTGTAGTGTGACAGTTGAATGAAAAATTGCATTTTCTTCATTTTTGTGTCTAAGAATTTCATGTTAAAAAGTATTTTACTTGCTTTATTTTCAACAAGATATCATTTAGAAGTTGACTTTTGCAATTTCAAGTTTTTGATTTATGTATCCTCAAATATGGGACTTTCAGTAGTGCTGATATAACCAATATTTAGACATTTTTGATACATTTGTCCGAAATTACAGATTCACATTGATGGTAAGAAAACACAGTAAAGATTCAAGCTATTATCTTTAATGCTTTTTGAGATATTCATGGTCAAGCATTGCCTTAGATTTCAGTGTGTGAAAAATGGGTCATTTATTTATTTGTATACTGGCTACGGATACTGACTACAGAAAGAAGCAATCATCACCCACCTCCTTTACATGGATGACATCAAGCTGTATCCCAATAGTGAACGAGACATCAATTCACTGAGCCAGACCACCAGGATATATACAGCAACGACATTGACATTTGAATTGGAGAAGTGTAGTCAGATGATAACGAAGAGAGGGAAGATAGTCAGAACTGAGGGGATTGAACTACCAGAAGGCAACATTGCAGACATAGAGGATAACTACAAGTACCAGGGGATCCCACAGGCAAATGGGAAGCATGAAGAGGCCGCTAGGAAAGCTTCAACCACCAAGTACCTGCAGAGGGTGAGGCAAGTCCTGAGAAGTGAACGGTAAGAACAAGATCCAGGCTATCAACACCTACACCCTGCCTGTGATTAGGTACCCTGCTGGGATAATAACCTGGCCAAAGGAGGAAATAGAAGCCACTGGCATCAACACAAGGAAGCTCCTGACCATGCATGGAGGGTTTCACCCAAGTCCAGCACCCTGATGCTGTACGCTTAGCGGAAGGAAGGAAGCCGAGGACTGGTGAGTGTCAATACCACATTCCAGGGTGAGACAACGAACATCCACAAGTACATCAGGAAGAAGGCCACGACTGACCGCATGCTCAGTGAATACCTCAAGCAGCAGCAAACCAAAAAAAGAGGAACAAGAGGAGGAACTATCATGGAAGGATAGATAGAGGAAGTGGCTGACATCCACAAATCCTACCAGTGGCTGGACATCCACAAATCCTACCAGTGGCTGGACATCCACAAATCCTACCAGTGGCTGGACAAAGCTGGACTGAAAGATGTCTCAGAGGCACTAATCATGGCAGCACAGGAACAAGCTTTGAGCACAAGATCCATTGATACTGGTGTCCATCACACCAGGCAAGACCCCAGGTGTAAAGATGCCACTGAGCTAATCCAGCACATAACATCAGGGTGCAAGATGCTAGCAGGTAGGGCATACATAGAACATCATAACCAAGTGGCTGGCATAGTATTCAGAAACATATGTGGCCTGGCAGGTCTCCTGCCATCCCCTTGACATCAGAGACTGGCTGTGTGCACTATGTCCAGTATCTCTGGGTAAAGAGCTGTAAGCCATATCATCCTTCAAGCCTTCACTGTAAATCAGTATAACACTGCCCACAGTTCCTAAGTGCTGACATGGTAAGGGAACAGTCTTGTAGTGTCGTCTTCTTGGGATGCTCAGTTTATGGCCTATCTCTGACATTCCCCATTATTTGAAACTTGGCCTTCAATTTGGATGCAGCCATCCAAATTGAAGGCCAAGTTTCAAACTACATGAGCTTTTTTTCTTGCTCATGTAGTTTCCTTAGCATCCAGCAAAAATCAGTAGTTCAGAACAGATGCTCGTGTAATCTTTCTTGCCTGCACTCATCAACAGTTTGCAAAACTTGCCATTGATTTGTGGCTTTGTCTTTGTTTTCAGTGTCAGCCATCCAAAAAGAGGAAAACATGTCTTAGAAAATAACGTTGTATCTAAAAACATAAACCTGTCAAACCAAAACAGAACAACATTTCACCTGCTGTTGTACCTGCATGGTTCTGTTCTCCATAACTGAAATTGAGGGCATTTGCATTGTTATGTAGCAGAAGACGTAGCACCATACTTACAAATGAATGTAGAAAGAAAAATAAGATTTAGATTATAGATACTTTTGGCAATGTGTTTGCATATTTAGAAGATTCAAATTGATTGTTCTCATGTAATGTCAACAATATGCTGTATCACACTGTATCTCAGGGAAAAAGCAATGTGAAAGCTGCTGTTCTCAATATATTTATGCTCAGTCTTCCTTCATTTATATGGTTCAATAGTCCAATGACAGTATATTTGATAGCTACTTAAGCTTTCTCTATTAAATTTAATTAAAATTAATCATCTGGGCTCTGTCAGTTAATAAAAGGCCTACATATTTAATGGGTTTGTATGCTTGGTGTACTGTTGTGAAGCCATATTTATTAGTTGGCTTTTGAACGCTGTTATAAGTGAACTGATTGATTTATAACATGGACGTGCATATCATGTAATTTTCCCTTTTCCATTTGAAAGAATTTTAAAGTTTCAGAAAAAAGGTGTAAAAATCTAAAGAGCAATATGGTAAATATAAGCATATAAATGAGTGAGCTTGTTCTGTGTAGTTTATCTGGTTCTTTTCTCTCATGAATACTATTAACAATAAATTTAGTCAATTTCTCTCCATAATGACATTAGCATGAGTAGCAATATGTTTGTTTTTTTCACAATTATGCTTTTATTAAATGGTGAATATAAATAACAGCAATGTGGTTAGTCTAAAATAAATGAATACATAAATAAATAAATAAATAATCTCTTAACAAACTGACTTGCCCAAATGAGATGGAGCCCAATCTATATACTAATGTTTTAAAGGATTTTAAACGAAAAAGGGGCAAACCCCAGAGTCAATAACTAAATTTAATACAAAGACACATATCAACACAGAAAGCTCAAGAAATCTTAAATGTGAAAATAAGTTGGCAGCATTAAACCTTATTCTGTATCTGATTTATATGGTTGTGAAATATAATTAGTAATACTAGAGTTTTTCAATTGTGTGTTTGTGGACACGATCATCACAGTGTTCTTGGTCATTTTACTTACCGTATTTTCAATTTCCATTGTCTGTTGTCAGCTAGGTTTCAGATGATTCTTGAGTCTGGGCTTTCTTTTTGAGATGCAGTAAAGCCTTTCAAAGACCCTCAGAACAACCTTTAACCACTGTTTTTTACTTTTGTTTGTTACCATAGTTCTTGGAGGTTACTGACTTAAGCCCTGGTATTGGATTCCTATAAGTTCTTGAAAAGGTGACAGCAGATAAATTGCAGCATTAAGGCTCACTAATATAATCCTCAAAACTGGAAAGTCAACTTTAGAATGGCAGCAGGGTGCTTCTGTGCTGTCTTATAGGATCTGATACAGAGGGTTGTAGTGCCACTGGTGGAGCCACCTTGGCATTGTCTGATCTTACATGTATGCTATCTGATATGTATCTGAACATATAAGAAAAGGAATACATTTTTATTTGTTCATCAAAACAAAGCAAGATAAACCTCATTCTAAAATTAGGGTACCAATGAGCGACAGTTATTTTATTGCAGGTTTAGGCTGAGCATGAATATGAGCAGATTTAGCATTTATATTAATTTCAGTATTTGAAACTGAGCTGTGTCACCCTGCATTCAGAATTTATGTATGGCTCAGGGTTTACCTAAGCCTCTAGTTCTTATTGACTCTAAACTTGGAATGATGGCTGAGCCTTTCAAAATATGCTTAAAAATGTAATATAAGAAACACTGGACATAAGTTATTATTCAGAAAGTTTCATGAATGTGAACAACACACATGAATTTCAATACTTGTCTGCTATGCTGAGGCTTGACCCAGGGCCACAATAGTCTATAGTAACAAAAATCTGTCCGGTACATTTTTATTATTATTTTCAGGTCAAAGTGACTTGCAGGTCACATTAAAAATTCACGTCACGATGCTGTTTGAAATGTTTATTTACATCAAACTCAATTTTCATATTGATGTCATTTTATGACAGCAGTGTCATTGTAATGTAAATATCCTGTCAGTTCATATATTTTCTCATATTAGTTTTATTCTGGGGTCTTCTACAAACACCTACTATACAAGCCAAAGATCCTTGCATCTAAAAATCTGTTAAGACACAAGTAAGTTGTTTCATCACCTTCAGACTAATAGCAACTAATCTAATAACAATCAGTGCTGTGCAGAGATAAAAACTGTATATAGTTTTCACAGTTATATTTCAGTATTTTATTTCATTACTGCTATACCCTTGAAATCAAAATAGACACATGTTGGTAACTTTTATTTAAGCAATTTTTGCAGGCCTAAGGCTTTATTGTTACTTTAACTTTAGATGATGTTTGTTTTGAATTTGTGAATCAAATAAGGAAGGCATCACTAGCATAATTTAAAAAACAACAAAGGTTTCATTCATGACAGTTCTCACTTAACTGCAAACAATGTGGCATTATCATGAGCTTGATTTATGCTGGCATTATAAAGGAAGTCTGCCATCTTCGGTGTGTCCAATTATTCTGTGAAGAAAAGGTAAAGCAAAAATAAACACATTCTGGAAAGAAACTGTTTGAAACTGGTGAGAGGAGCCTGAAGTGAGCATTTTGCCCACAGGAATTATTTTTCCTTTATTATTTAAAACATGAAGAGATGATTTACACCATACTAGTATATACATCTGATATACTGATATAGATATATCTATATCTATATCAGTATATTACACTCATTATGACAGCAAATGAGGAAAGGCATAAAATGTCTCTTTGAAAGGCTTACCTCTGACTGTGAGTTTAGTTGCAGACTCTGCCCTTCCCAAAGAGTTTTCTGCAACAACCTTGTACTCCCCGGTGTCTTTTGAGCCAACCCTCAATATGAGCAGAGAGCATACTCCACAGGTGTTGGAGATTAGGTAGTTAGTGTTTGTATTCAGACTGACACTGTCGCGGAGCCATGTGACATGAGGTGTTGGATCCCCTTTTATAGCACAAGTCATATAGCATTCATACCCTTCAGGAGCTGTGTGGGTTTTCAGTGGGACAATGAACTTGGGAGGACACAGCAGATTGCACGTCTTTGATTCTGGCATTTTCACAGTGAACTTTTCTGGAAGAAAGGAAACATGCAGTGCATTCTAATTGTATTCATCTAACATTAGAAAATGTGTCAATACTGTCTTGATGATGGCGCTACAACAGAATAGGGCTGGGCCATATTATACCATTCACGGTAATACCGGTATAATGTTAGGCAACGATAGGAAAATGAAATATCGCGATAGAATATGAGTACAACGTGCATGCGCAGTGCCTTTGTTTTCATACGCACATGGCCGATTGTTGAGTGAAACAGATGAACCAGATTTGGTTTGTAAAAATGGTGCAATTTCAGTGATGTGGAACTGATTTGGTGTTTGTCCGTCAGATACACGACAAAGCACATTTTTTTGCAGAACATGCAAGTGGCCGTTGTTACTGTCGGACTAAGATGCTCTTAAATCTGTGAGTAATCTGGGTCCTAAACTCCGTATGCTTCAGGTCAAACGAACACTGCAGCATCACTGAGAGTTTAAAAACTGTCTAAATTCTTTCATCTTTAATAAAACGATCAGCATTGCTGCTTTACCAGGTGTAACTATGAAGTTTAACTTCCAGGCATCCATGAAAACAAAATTTATTACATTTAACGGAGTTAGATTTTAGCAGGAAGCTAGCAGAAGTTAGCTCGCTAGTTTCGCTAGTTACCTAAGCATGATATTGCATGTTCTGACTGAGAGATTTCTGAAAAAATTCAAACGTACAGCTCTACTATCACTTCCAAAATAAATGACGACAGGAAACTAAACAGCAGTGACGTTTGTAGGGTTTTTATAAAGCTTTAATGTACATAAAAACCAGCTTTTTGTTTAAGTGAAAATAAATGGAAGGTTGTCTTTTTGCGCTAGTAATGTTGTGGAGTTGTATTTTGTCTCGCATCAATTATATTGTCAGTTATACCGTTATCGTGATAAATATTTTTGGCCATATCACCCTGCTCTACAACAGAATTATTAGAAAATGAAAGGAGATACTAGTCCTGTTCGTGTACTAGAGTTTGTCATAATCATACAGCAAAGCAAAAGGGAAACAAGGTTAAAACTCTAAAGTTTTAAATATCAGTGGATAAGTCATAAAAACAAATACAGATAAATACAGCAATGCATACCCATTGTCCACATTATTTTTATATATATATATATATATAAACACCCAGCACGCCCCTGCGGGCGGTTTATCCTTCAAGCTCGGGTCCTCTACCAGAGGCCTGGGAGCTTGAGGGTCCTGCGCAGTATCTTAGCTGTTCCCAGGACTGCGCTCTTCTGGACAGAGATCTCCGATGTTGTTCCTGGGATCTGCTGGAGCCACTCGCCTAGCTTGGGAGTCACCGCACCTAGTGCTCCGATTACCACGGGGACCACCGTTACCTTCACCCTCCACATCCTCTCGAGCTCTTCTCTGAGCCCTTGGTATTTCTCCAGCTTCTCGTGTTCCTTCTTCCTGATATTGCTGTCATTCGGAACCGCTACATCGATCACTACGGCCATCTTCTTCTGTTTGTCTACCACCACTATGTCCGGTTGGTTAGCCACCACCATTTGTAGCAGCTGGATAGCGTAGTGGTTAGACTACACGCCTTTGGAACAGAGGATCGCAAGTTCGACTCCTGCCTGGGGCGTCTGTATCCAGTAAGGGTCCTAAGGCTAGACCCCCTATGCTAAGCAAGCCTACCGCAGACATGAGCGAGACAGATAAATATGAAGGCATGCCGGCTCGGACGTCGCCCGGATCAACAAGGTCCGCGTCAGGTGTTGAGGAACCAGGGCACCCTGACGAAAAGTGGGCTACTGGAACAAGAAGGCATCGGTGGGCAAGAGACGAAAACAGGGCGTTGTTGGAATGCTACTATGCAAGTAACCCCGGCGGAAGGGGCTACATGAATAGGATGAGGGACCTATGGATATATATATATATATATATATATATGAGACACACACACGGCCCTATGACATCAGTGTCAGTGCAAATTAAGTAAAATAGATATGGTCACAGACAGTTAAACTTTATTTTGTAGCTAAAGAGTCATTTAGTTGTTAATATTTAATACTAGATTTTCTTAAAGCTGTACTCTTAAAAATTGCAGTTCTTCTTCAAACTAACATGTCTTCCAAAAGGACAGGCATAACCATGTGCATACCTTTTTTGGCAGGAATCAGCCACTTGGGGGATTCAGAGGGTTTGGAGGAGCCCATGTCATTCTTTGCATAGACTCTGAACTGGTATTCTCGTCCTGGCATTATGTTACATGCTGTGAATCTGTTGTTGAAGATTCGATCTGCAATGGTGTTCCATGTTCTTTTGCTTGAATCACGCTTGGTCACCATGTAATGCAGCCTGTCATCACGTTTCTCATCTGGAGATGCTGTCCATGAAATAGTCACAGTACCATGCACATTTTCATCTAACTCCACAGGACCTGGAGGCTTGGGCTCATCTGGAGTTATAAAGAAAGTTTAGTTTTTTCTTTTGTCCACAGCATATGAAATGGAAGTTTTACAATTAATACAAGATTATACCAAACACACCTGTGACTCTAATTTCAATGCTGATTGTTTCTTGCCCAACAATGTTCTTGACAATGATTGTATAGACTCCAGTATCTGAGCGCTCAGCAGAAGGAATGAGAATCTGGGATGTACCCTCTGCATTACTGATGGTCACTTTTTTAGACACTGGCACGCCATCTTTTAGCCAGATTACATCTGGCCAAGGAGAGGCCTAGAAAGAATACAAAGATGTAATTTTCTTAGTTTGTAAGAAGATAAAATAAGATCCCTATATGTCTGTTGTCACAAATATAGTAATCAGGTTATTACCTCAAAGTTAATGTTGAATCGTGCTGAATTTCCTGCTCTCACCACCATAAAACTCTTAATTTTGGCATCAGTGAATCGGGGCCTCACTATGTAAACAGCAGGATGAAAGTTTGTCAGAACAAAATTTAATATTGGGTAAAAGTTACAGGAAGACAAATCTCGCAAGTAGGCTTTGGTGGTAATAATTTGGCACAGAAGATGATATTTATACATGGAGCAATTCAAATGTACCATGAGCAGTGGAGACACTGGGTGCATTGATGCTGAAGGAAACTACCTCAGATTTTAATCTGGTATGTATTGCCAAATATTGTGGTTGTACCTTTTATGCTGGTTATTAGATTTCTGAAGTATGCAAAATTCTGGTAATTTCAAGTAATTGAAACTATATACTTAACTTGAGTCAAGCATTGCTTAGTGGAAACAAAACAAAGAATAATTACTGAATTTATCATTATTATGTTGCTTTGTAATCATGACATTAAATATAACATTTGGAAATTTTCTCACCAGGAGGAGGCATAGAGATATGGTAGTTATCCAGTTCCTGTGGCTCTCCATGGCCTCCTTCATTGATAGCAATGACTCTTACCCAGTACATAGCCATTGACTTCATGCCTTTTACTGTATAAGACGTCATGGTTATTGCATTCAAATTACAGCGATCCCACTCTGTGTTTTCTGCAAGCCTGATCTCCACAAAATATCCCTTTGCTTCATCTTCAACCCCCTCAATGTCCTTGGGTTTTGTCCAAGACAAGGAGATGGTTGTGTAAGTGGAATCTGTCACTTTGAAGTCACTGACTTTACCAGGAGGTTCTGTAAAATATGATTCAAAGACAAACATTATTTTTACACAAAGCTAAATATAGTCTAAAAATGCCAACCGTATCAGTTTCCACCTACTTTTAGGGTCTCTGGCAAACACGAATTCTGAAGGGGAGCTGAATTCACCGGCTCCAGAGTTATTGATCGCAGACACACGGAATTCATACTCCATGCCCTCAATTACATCTTTCACAGCAAATTGCTTCCCTGTAAGGGAAAAATTTGAATTGCAGCAATAAATCATTAGGACATCACTGTTGTGCTGTCAAGTTATTCTAACATAAACAAACAGAAACTGGCTGTGAATAAGAAACCTCTAATCATCTCATTGGGTGGATTGACAGGGCCCCATAAGTTGCTGCCCTTCTTGCGTTTTTCAAGGTTGTATCCCAGAATACTGGTTCCTCCAGTATCAGCAGGGGGAGACCAGGAGAGAGTGATACAGTCTTTGAAGGCACTGACAACCTTGGGTGCTGATGGAGGTCCAGGGTATGCTGTATACAGAAAAGAGTGGGACTAGTATGTTTTTCATTTATATTTTTTTGTCTAAAGATTCATTAAAAAAAAAGGTTGTCTACTTTTGAGGAACTCTGAGAATGACACAAAAGCTGAACAATAACTTTATTTCATTAGAAACCATAGTGGTCAGTTGGAATTAAAAGATATTCTTTGCATTCTCTTCAGTTATTTAGCTACCTTAAATTAGAAGTCTTGCCACATGAGAAATTAGCACAGCAAAATGTTTCCATTCATTCTCTTGAAATGTACACAGCTAGATTTATTACATTGTTAATGAAAGCTTCTGCCTGACTTTTAGTTGTCAGTTTTTTTCCCTAATTCAACAAAGATTTGAATAGAAAAAAATGTATATGGGAAAATGAAAATAAGGTTGTTCAATTTATTGTCATAGAAGTAAGTTTGCATAGTTTATTTAAAATAAAATAAACAGTGAGTGTCCTATCTCGCAGCTGTCTGCAGACCATTCCCATTTTCAATTTGTGAAAATTGAGGAAAGTCAATTTTATGGTGAAGCACTGGAGGAAAAACACAAAAAACAAGTACCTGAGTTTTTCAATAAAAGGTTTTCTTTTTTTACCTGTAAGATTTGCCTTTTGAATGTTGATGACCAGACCGTTAATACAGTGGTATTTTGAGAAGATGGCATTTAAATAATTGTTATCTTAGTTCACCTTTTGTACCAGCTTGAATGTCCTCTGTTTCCATCAGTTCACTGATGCCCATTTCAGTCTCCACTCTGAGGCGATAGCAATACCTTCGGCCATGGTCTACATCCGTGTCCCTGTACTTGGCCTCAGGACCAATTGGCCCCAACTTCTTCCAGGTGTTACGGCCAACTTGTTGTCGTTCAAGGATATAGTTTAATATCTTGCAGCCACCACTGTCTTTTGGGGGTCTCCACTTGAATTCAACTGCAGAGGAGGAGGCTTCAACAATCTCTAGAGGTCCCATTGGAGGAGTAGGTTTATCTGTTTGAAGAGAAAGTACAATACAGAATATTCATCTGTGCAGAACCAAGATTTTTAAGTGTATTAAATCCAGTGTCTTATGCAAAAGTGCTATACACACACACCTAGTACAACAAGTTGGCTGAGAGCCTCCATAGTGCCAAACTCATTTTTGAGTTTAATCTTGATTTCACCACTATCTTTACGCTGAAGCTTCAATAGCAGTAGACGGCTAGACCCCTCTGAATGCTCTATCTTGATGTTTGCCTCCTCCGAAAGCTCTTCACCCTCACGGTACCACTGAATTTTTATAGGTTCCCGTCCAATAAAAGCCAAGTTGAACGTAGCTTTGTGTCCTTTTTTCACAGTGACAGGAGTTTTGAATGCTTCCAGATCTTCAGCATTAAATCGTGGTGGATCTAGAATGAGTCATAAAAAAACAAAAACATATTTCAAGCACTGTTATGCTTTGTAGTTACTGTATGTACAATAAATAATTTTGCACTGCTCTTAAAAATTATTTTTCATCATGAACTAAACACTCTGCTTAATGAATGATGCAGACCTTGTGAGCAAGAAAATAGGTATTGCAATACTAATGTTTTTACCTTCAACAGCAATCTCAGCCTCTGTCTTACGCCCGTCTGCTTCAAATTTATATTTCCCTGCAAATTCTTCTGTGACTTTATGAATTTTCAGTCTGTGAAATGTTCCATCCTTTGAAATAGTTAACCCCTCAGATGACTTAATCTGGAATAATAACAAAATAAAAATGCAGACATAAGTGTACAAATTAGTTTTTGATTGCAAGTGAAAATTGTTTTCTTTAAAAAATAACTTTCACTGAACACAGGCAATCCCTCAACATGTTTGTACTGTCTGCTCATATTAAACCATGTTGTGCTTTTTAAATAACCTATTTTAACATTTCGATGCATTCTCAATCATCCAGGAAAGTAAATCTCCAAAAAGTTGATTCTGTTCATCTGGACGTAGCGCTTTGTGGGAGAAACGTTTCGTCACTCATCCAAGTGACTTCTTCAGTCTCAGCTGACTGCAGGTTTCCTCAATCTTATAAACATTTGCATAATGACTGAAACCAGCCCACTGAAGGAACAATGGGCTGGGAGGTCAATTCCTTAATCTTAATTATGCAAATTCTCATGACCATTGATCAACAACCACTGACCAAAACCCACTGATCAATAACCACTGATCAATAACCACTGATCAATGGCCACGAATACCATTCACAGAGAGTTGGGGAATGGCTGCAATCACAGCATTTTAAGATGGCGAAAGATGTACCCTTAGGCCCCCTCCTCGATTCAGAGATGGTCTTTTCCTTTTCACATAAATGGCCTCCTTGACTTCACGCTCAAACCAGCGTTCCTCCCTGTCTAGGATGTGTACATCCTCATCCTTGAAAGAGTGTCCACTGGCCTGTAGGTGTGAATAGACTGCAGAGTCCTGGCCTGACAATGTAGCTCTTCTGTGTTGTGCCATCCGCTTCACCAGAGGTTGTTCGGTTTCCCCAATGTATAAATCCTGGCAATCCTCCTGGCACTTAACAGCATACACTATGTTACTCTGTTTGTGTCGGGGGACCTGATCCTTGGGGTGGACCAGTTTTTGGCGCAGCGTGTTTTGGGGTTTAAAAGCCACAGAGACCCGGTGTTTAGAAAAAATGCGTCTCAACTGCTCCACTCTTTCAAGGATGAGGATGTACACATCTTGGACAGGGAGGAACGCTGGTTTGAGCGTGGAGTCAAGGAGGCCATTTATGTGAAAAGGGAAAGAGCATCTCTAAATTGAGGAGGGGGCCTAAGGGTACATCTTTCGCCATCTTACAATGCTGTGATTGCAGCCATTCCCCAACTCTCTGTGAATGGTACTCATGGCCATTGATCAGTGGTTATTGATCAGTGGGTTTTGGTCAGTGGTTGTTGATCAATGGTCATGAGAATTTGCATAATTAAGATTAAGGAATTGACATCCCAGCCCATTGTTCCTTCAGTGGGCTGGTTTCAGGCATTATGCAAATGTTTATAAGATTGGGGAAACCTGCATTCAGCTGAGACTGAAGAAGTCACTTGGATGAGTGACGAAACGTTTCTCCCACAAAATGCTACGTCCAGATGAACAGAATCAACTTTTTGGAGAGACTATTTTAACATTGCACTCAGCAACAAACAAATCCTAACAAAAAAGTAACTTCAAGGGTCAAATTGCATTATATTTCTTCATGTCAATATACAGTGTTGTGGGACTCGAGTTTGAGACCCCTGATATAGCGCTTTGTTCTATAATAATATCTGCCTGTCATCCATGGCCAAAATACAATGTCTTTAGATAGTGGGGTGAAGCCAGAGTACGCAGAGGAAACCCATGCAGATAAAGTCTAAATGCAACATGAACAGATTTAAGACCATGAGCTTACCTCTTCCCCATCTTTGTACCAGACTCCCACACAGTCTTCACTGCTCACTTTACACTCCAGCTCTGCCGCTTCTCCAATAATGGCTTTGCAGTCAGAAAGCCCAGCATGAAAGTGAACTCCTGGGTCTGAAGATTTATCAAACATTAAGTTAGTAATTGCAAATACAGTTTCTTTTATTTCATTTTTGTAATTGTACATTTAGAATTTTAGTGATTTGAAGATTTCCATTCATGCATGCAGGAATGCAATTGTGGACATACTTACCTATTTTATTTTTTACTTATAAAAAATAAGTTTTTATGACAGAAATTTCAGATTTGTAGTAGCTGTTTAATCCAAGTTGGTAAATGATGCAATAAGAGTGGGTTTTTGGGGAAAAAAATTACTTGATGAAGATCTTTTTTATTTTTTTTTAAATTTGTAGCTTGTCTCATATGGCATTGGTCTTCGTCAGCTCAAGCCAACTCTTGGCACAGCTCAGGAATGTCTTCACAGAGTCGTCCATTTGTATCTGTTCACTTAATTAGTCTTGGAAAAAAGAAAGATTTACTATTAAGATGTCCCACTTGGGATTGACCTTCTTGGTCAGTGAAGGAGTATGTCGTTTTTGCTGGCATAAATTCAGCATTAAGTGAAATATGGAAAAAAAAAAACACCCATGAATCTGGTTTAGGACATAGTCATCCTCCAAGGTCAGTCCAAGTTGTCTTCCATCTTCCAGTTACGTAAGAGTGCAACTACATAAAGTATTTAAGTGACCAGTTAAAAAATAAATTACTCCAAAGCACTGATTCATCCTGAATTAACTTTTAAAATGAAAAGCAAGACTGTTAACACAGAAAGCACACAAAGCACAGATGCATAAAAATCACATACACACACCACACCCAACCTTCAAATACATACAAAGACACATGTAGACGCAAATAAACAAATTGTTGGCAGCTAATCCACCTGTAGGTCAAAAAAATAAAATTAAAATTATATAAGTAATGGTGTTCTGTTACCTAAAAAATATGTGAAGTAGTTTTAACAATTCTGGGACAATTAAGCTAAAAAAGCATTAGTGTATCAAATTTAATTGATGTTTCCTAAATAAATGCATGTTCAAAGTTAAATCCACTTGTCCTGACCTGTAATCATTGTAGGAGGTAATTTATCCAATTAGACATTAAATCTGCTCTTCTTCTTAATGATCACACACTTCTATTAAGTCCCAAGCCACTGGAAATGTCATCAGCTCATCATATGACTTCACAGAGTCGTCCAGAAGTGAGATTGCTTCCCATGCAGCAGTTAATATAGCACCTGTAATCTTACCACAAAGTGTCTCGTCAAACAGTCAGCCTTGCTGTGCACTGCCTGAACGTTTGCCAGCTGCTGCTGGCTCATCATCATCTGCACCCTCACCATTTTCAGGAGATTCATCACTGCCTGCTGATGGTCCAGTGCCATTATCACCATTGGTATCTCTTGCTTCTCAGTTTTTTGCTTTTCAAGTTTAAGGAACATCACCATAAATACCATCAATCCAGTATTTCTCATTTGCTGTTGGTTAAGCCTTACAAATAACATTGATAAAGTCAGTAATAATAACAAATATTTACATAGATAATAAAAACAAACAGCAATCGGTACAACAGAGTGGTGGAAAAGGTGATCTCTAAGTTGGATAGTATTTCTTGGTATATGTGAAAAATAAATAGATGAAATAACCAAAAGCAGTAATACATGTGATAAAAGTGCTGATCCTTTTTAAATTTTCTAGTGCTTCAAAAAGTGGACAGTTCATGATTAGATATGTGAAGTTGTTTGGGTTTTAATAATCTTTCCTATTTGCCTACTAAATAGAAGACCTCAAATGATTCAAACATGACATTTAAACAGCATAAAAACAAACATGAAAGCACAATACACATAAAACACAAATACAGATCACTTTCCATATATGTGAAAGCTTTAAAAGAGAGTTTAAAATGTAAAAAACATATATGCTAGTTTTCAAGACGAGACACAAAAACAAAGAAAAGCAGGCATAATATACAACAGTTTTTTTCTAATTTATTAACTAGAGGTTTTCATTGTTTCTGGACTGAAAACCATGTGATCTGTAAATACATGGTTGCACTACAGATGACTCATTAAATGACATTATATTTGAATGTTGGATTGTCAAGAAGCAGTAAACTTAACCCTTTAGCTTGTTTAACATCCCAGTGTTCTCTTACTTACTGAGTTCTGGAATTTGTTATTATTATTATTATTTTTAATCCACTTCGTGGGGCTTAATTTTGCAGTTGACATAGCAGAGTACTGAAAAACTTTGTAAGATATCAGCTACTGCTTACGCACCTGAATCTAAACTGAAGTATTTAGAATTCCCTACAGGTATAATGATAGCGATTTTCATTCCCAATGACTTATTTGTCAATAAACTACAGCATGCAACCTTTACATTGCTTACCAATAAAAGGTTCTTCAAATGCCACATTTACCTTTTTTCAGTGTTTTTCTTTTTCACAGGAAACCACAAGTCTCCTCATTGATTTGTGGTTTCCTCATCATTTATATTTCTAATTATTTTATAGCACTTTTATACAGAATAGACTGCTAGTAATATTAACAGCGTAAATGAAAAGTTGTGTAATACAATACAAATTAAATAAATTGAAAGAGAATAAAAATGGTCAACTCTTTTTTTTATTATATAATTCTGTGTGTAGTGCAGTACAGTATTAACAACTTACCTATTACTGTATCTGGAACCAGAGGACCAGCTCTCACACGTTTTCTGCGTTTTCCTCCTTTACCTCCCCCCTCTCCTCCTACACCCCCTTCTCCTCCCTCTCCTCCTTCTCCTTCCTCTCCTCCTCCTTCTACACATCCTTCTTCTCCCCACTCCCCCTCAAATTCTTCATCAGAATCTTCAAATGAATCATATTCATCTTCTCCTTCACCGCCACCGACTCCTACTCCAGCTGCGCCTTGAGCTCCACCTTTTCCAATGGCTGCAGCTCCATGTCCACCTTCTTGTCCACCAGCACTGGCACCACCATCAACTCCATTGCCTGCACCCCCTGCACTTCCTGCACCAATACCACTGGTACCACCAGCACCTGCAACTGCAGCAGCACCACCAGGACCACCTGTCCCGCCAGCACCAGCTGCACACCCGGCACCAACAGCACCACCAGCACCCCCGGCACCAACAGTTCCATCAGCACCACCAGCACCGGCAGCCCCACCAACACCAGCAGCACCCCCGGCACCAACAGTTCCATCAGCACCGGCAGCCCCACCAACACCAGCAGCACCCCCGGCACCAACAGTTCCATCAGCACCACCAGCACCGGCAGCCCCACCAACACCAGCAGCACCCCCGGCACCAACAGTTCCATCAGCACCGGCAGCCCCACCAACACCAGCAGCACCCTCGGCACCAACAGTTCCATCAGCAGAGGCCGCGCCACTTCCAGCACCGGCTCCTTTTTTCGCACTTTTCCTTGGAGCTCCGTCTTTACCAGCTGCTGCCCTTTTAGCTCTTGCCGCAGCCTTAGCTTTAGCTTTGGCTTCAGCAGCTGCCTTTTTAGCTGCTTCTTCATCCTCTTGGGCTGCTGCTCCAGCGGCTTCTTTCTCGGCTTGGGCTTTCTTTGCAAGTTCCAGTTTTTCTTCCAATTCTTTCTGATATTTTTCTTGCTGCTCCTTTGCTATTTTCAACAGCTCCTCTTCGTTGCTACCTCCAGCCATGGTGGTTTTCCGAGCCACCTTTTTGCCCTTACTTGCAGGATCTTTGTCAGCTATGAAAAATATATCAGATATATTTGTAACTTGCAGCTGGTTTTGGAAAAATTTTGGAATATTCAATTTTTTAATGTGAATTTTGTGATTTTTTTTAAATTATATATATCTATATATATATACATGTGTGTGTGTGTGTGTACATAATTCTCACCTTCAACTATAAGCCAAGCGTTGCAAGATTTTATTCCTGCCACAGCAGCATAGATACCGGCATCCAAAGGCATGCAGTCCCGCACAATCAATTTGTGGATGAGCTTATCCTCAGATATAGTAATTTCATGTTTTTCACTATTTGACAGCAGAGCACTTTTGCCATACCATTTGATCTCGTTCATGGGTGCAGTTAGGACACATTGAAAGAGGGCGTCCTCTCGTTCTTCTGCCTTGACTTCTTGTATTTTGACAGCAAATTCGACTGGAGTTACTGAAAGGTTTTAAAAAGACACAAAAGAATCAGAGAAAAACGCAATCCATTATCTAAACTGCTTACCCTGTTCAAGAACTCTTTCATCAGAGCTGCCCGAACTTAATGAGTTACATTAATTTAAGCTATGAGTACATTTCAATCAAATGGAAAAACACGATTTATGGTTAACAATTGTATAAGTAACAATAAAAGAAGCTGAATAGACCTAAACCTTATCTAATCTTAATACCTGGATTAAAGACAGACCTTTAAAATCAGTGGAGAACACATTGACACCCTCAACATCCACTGAGTAGAGTCCAGCATCTTCTACTCCTAGTTTTTTGATTTTGAATATGTATTTTTTGCCAACTTGTTTCAAACTATGTTTCTGCTCATCAGCCTCATCTTTGGAAAATGGAACCATGACACCATCCTGCAGAATTTAAAGATGTATTAACATTTTGATAATACGTTTAAAAAGAAAGAAGCAAGACAAAACGTAATGAGCAGTTAATTTCTTACCTTGTACAGGTACAGTTTACTGCTAGGATCCTTGAGGTCCATATCCAACTCAATTGTTGCATAATCATCATCTGTGACCTCAATAGGCTTTAAACTGCTGATATGTGTGACAAACTATGGCAGAGATATATCAAAAATTATAAAAAATGGTCAAGCGACAGTATACAATACAGCAAATTTAAAGAAAACATTATAGGCCTCTCTGAATAAAAGCAGTTTTGTTGGAGAGGCTTTTGATTAAATAAAAGAATGCCAGAGTTCTGTACCTCTGCGACCTCCTCTTCTCGTTCTTTTTTCATTTCATTAAGTTTCTTTAGCATGCCACGGAAGTTTGTGATACCATACTCAGCACAGATACGCTCATAGTCTTTCTTGTCTGCACTGAGCAGAATTTCCCAGACCTTCTCCTCTGTCTCCATTGGCTTCTGCTCACGTGTTCCATCTGGATTACTGTATTGACAAGCAGCATTAAGTTAGAATTCACAGCTGTAAAGAATACAAAAAGTAAGAATAGTTCACAAGCTATAAAAAAGCTCACCGTTTTTTTAGTGTCTTTCTGAAGTCAACTGTATCTGCGGAACCATAAAAAAACAAACTTAAAACACAAATTTGTCAGTCAATATAGAAATATCATAAATGTGGGAGGCTCTGACCAAAGGAGGCTCTAGAAACTAAACCACAGCATAGCTTCATAATGGCAAGCGTCTGGGGGCTGAGGTTAATATTTTCAGAAAAAGAGTCACTGATGTCTTAAGTGGCAGTGCATAGTGAAACTGTGCTGATGTGACAGACAGATTTTTCCAAATAATTCAAATCACTAAGTAAAATGTCAGCTTGCAATTAAAATTAATGGGCAAATTGTGTAGGAGAAAAAGTGAACCACTCTATCTAAATATTGGTAGATTTAAAGAAAGCCCATCAATATCCATTTAACTTATCTTGCCAAGTTCCCCAAATGTCTTCTGTAAAATCTAATAGATGTTTTCTGAATTACATTTATAGTTTGGTTGTAATGCAGTTTGCTTATTTTCTAGAAAATGTTTCAGAAGCGCAGTAATGCATAACTTGTCCTGGTCTGATAACAAACAATTCAATTCAGTTTTATTTATACAGTGCCAAATCACAACAACAGTTGCCTCAAGGCCCTTTATATAGTAAGGTACACCCTAAAACAGGGGTGGGCAACTCCAGACCTCGAGTGCCGGTGTCCTGCAGGTTTTAGATGTGTCCTTGATCCAACACAGCTGATTCAAATTGCTAAATTACCTCCTCTGTCTTGAAGTTCTCGAGAGGCCTGGTAATAAACTAATCATTTGATTCAGGTGTGTTGACCCAGGGTGAGATCTAAAACCTGCAGGACCCCTGCCCTACAATAATACATACAGAGAAAAACCCAACAATCATATGACCCTCTATTGCAGGGGTAGGCAACTCCAGGCCTCGAGTGCCGGTGTCCTGCAGGTTTTAGATCCCACCCTGGGTTAACACACCTGAATCAAATGATTAGTTCATTACCAGACCTCTGGAGAACTTCAAGAAATGCTGAGGAGTCATTTAGCCCTTTAAATCAGCTGTGATGGATCATGGACACATCTAAAACCTCCAGGACACCGGCACTCGAGGCCTGGAGTTGCCTACCGCTGCTCTATTGAGCAAGCACTTTGGCGACAGTGGGAAGAAAAAAAACTCCCTTTTAACAGGAAGAACCATTTAGTGAAGGAAACACTAAATGCTTCTAAGAAAACATTTCAAGGTCATACAACACCAAGTGTTTATGAGCTCTTACCTTCGACTTGTGCCTTTTGGAGTTCTTTGGTCTTGGAAAATCCAACTGTGAACAGTAAACATAGTTATTTATTTATTAGTTTTGTTTTTAATTCATCATAAAGATACCAGTTGCTCATGAAGATATGTAATTCAGCTTTAACACATCTGAAAGAGACAGTATTTCAGAGAATAAAAGTCTTACCTTCAATAACATTTAAAACAACAGTGCAAACAGCCCTTCCATATTCATTTGTTGCAAAACACTTGTAGGTGTCAGCATCTTCTGGAGAAACTTTAGGGAACTAATGAAGCACAGAGCTGATGTCATTTTTATTATGTTTGACTGCATATTAAGTGTTGTTATTTATTTCAGCTCACAATCACTTGTACCTTGAAAGTGCTATTGTGGAGCTTACCTCAATGGTGTGTTCGTGGGTTGCCTCATCATATTTTTGTAGGCACACAGAAGGATGAAAAAGTATTTCTCCATTTGCTCTACTCCATGTCACAGTAGGGGTTGGGGTTCCTACTATTATGGCTTTAAAGAACGCAAATTTACCTATAATAGAAAAAGTTGAGGATTGTTTAGTATTGAAAAAATAACTTAGTAAATGGAAATGTTCCAGTTACAAATGTTCCAGATCATGTTAATACATTAAATTAAGAAATTCTAAAATGATTTCTGTTGCCACTGCCACTGAGTGTGCAGAAATGATAGGTTTGAGGCTTTTCCTAGTTTTCTTCATTTTTATGATATTTATTTCAACCCAATATTACAGGAGATGTTTGGCCATAATGCACAACACCATGTCTGGCAAAATCCAAACAAGGCATTTCAGCATAAACGCCTCATACAAACTGGCAAGCATGGTGGTGTAGGGATGATGATTTAGTCTTGTAGTTACTGACAGTGACATAGTGTAGTATGTCATGTGTTTTTATTCAACTAAAAAAAACAAAACCCTCCCAGTACATAAAACCGGAGTAGTCAATAGCATTCAGTAACCCAGATAAGAACACGCAATACCCCTTTTCTTCAAAACTGGATTAAGAGCTTCTCAAAAACCTGATCACAAACATGATCACATGCATCTAAAAAGTTTCACTGGAATTTATCTTTGTCATCTGTTTAATAGATACTTTTGTTAGTGACTTCAGTTTAATTACATCACCAGAACAATTAGGACTTCCCAGTATTTGTCAGTAATACTTGTGTAGGTTTAAGGTGTAGGTCAGTGTGCAGCACATTTTTTTGTATTGTATTGTGAAGCATTTGAGACATGACATGAGACTTACCCTCTTGAATAGTTAGAGCAATCGGTTTGCGGGTGAAATCTGGAGTTGTCATTCCCTCTGGAAGTTCCTCCATAAACTGTGTTATCATGACACCAGGCACTTTTGACTTCTTCCTGATGCCTAACCAAATCAAGGCATATTAGGCAATTAGGCAACCCTAATATTTCAAAGCAGACCAGATATATACAAATTTGTGTGATCCAGACTGAGGATAATAGATCACTTAAAATGTTAAAAAAGCAACTCTATAAGTCTAAAAAACAGTCATATTTTGATCAAAAAAATAACCAGCACATTTAAAGAAATTAAAAACCCAGACCAGAAAAAAAAAGAGGTCAGGGTCAATTGCAAACACAGTCACATTCTGACGTATGAATCAAGTATGTGTGAAGAGAATGCATATTCTGATGTTAAAATGCCACAATACACGCTCAAATTTCAACTGCTGCATGACAAAATGGCTAAGAAAAGCTGCATTTTATAAGATTATCTACCCCTTTTTCTTTACAAACTGCAGGTGCTTATTCTAAGGGAAGGAATAATACTTTAACAGTCAGCTTATTTGGGAATGAAATATGTCAGCTATCAGCTAGGATAGTTTCATATTGCTGAAGGTTTGTTGAACTTGCTCCCGCAGTTTATCCAATTCCTAGTGCTGTTTAAGTAGGATAAAAGCCACTTACATAGAGAAAGGTGAACAATCATAAACCGTTAATTACAGTGAATGTATAACTGAGATATTTAATTAGGTTTTTTAAGTAACTTTTTGAAAGAAGACAGAGTTGCCTATGACAATTTAACAAACCTATGGGCATTTGAAGTAGTTGTAGTAGTAAGTGTGTAGTGTTTAGTGATATTAGCATGTGCCATATTTATGGGCTTGAGTCTCAGACAAATATTTGTGTGAGTCTCAAGCCCAGTAAGATCATAGTTGGTGCTATTATAACAATAAAGTCAGTCTTTTAGCATAAAATCAGCACTTTGGTCATGTGGAATAGGTTATGCTTGTGATTGTGATTAAGAGTTTTTTCTTCTCAGTCTATTTCAATTTAATGCATACATAATCTTAAAAAAACACATTTATAATTTACTAAAACACTTACAGCTTTAGTTGTATTATTCTCAGCACAGTTTATTCTAAATTTGTGAGTATGAGAAAAGATAAAACTGAACAAAAAGGTTGAGGTTAGCTCATGCATTCTGTATTTTAAAATATGTGTCAACAGAATCAGACATGGATCTACATATATGTGCTGTACTATTAGAGTATTCATATGAACTAACCCTCAGCAATATCGAAGACTTCATCACTGATTGCTGTTCACAAGGATAAAGCTGGCCCAGGGATCCCTGGTCTTTAATTATTTTCACCTTGCGTGAAAGACCTGCAATAGGCAGAATATTAGCTACAAAATATTTATATTTTTATTAAAGATTGTGAGAGCAGAATGCCCCACCCAGCATTTTGCAGTCTGAAGCACACTGTTAAATTAGTTAGTTAAATTAAATAAGTTAAATTGCTTGCAGCAGGGGTTACTGAATAGTATATATGGTTTGTATGCTGCACGGTGATGATAACGTTACACTGGTGTTGCTGCTGTTAGCAAGCTGGATGTTCACACTGTGGAATTTTTAGGATGATGCAACAATAAAAACAACATGTGTGCATGAAAATGTTGATCAGCTTTTCAAAATAAGACAGTGATTAGAATGACATGAAAGCCAAGCATTGATATCATAGGTCAATTTGCAGATAACATTTAAAAATAATTAGCATAAATGTGGTACGAAAAGGTTTAATTCAGTTCTGTCATTCTGAAGTAGATTGAACAAGACGTATGTTCTTGATTAAAAACAGGGTCTTTCGTAAGTCGAAAATTTTCGTAAGTCGAAGCCCCCATCGCGCCTTTTGAGTGAAAGATAGGCTATAGGCTAATTGCTAACTGCAACGACGGAAGCGCAAGTACGAAAGCCAAGGGGGTTGTCACATGATTGGGAAGGCATTGTGGGCATTGTAGGCATTGTGGGCTCAGCCAATCAGAGCCAGCGGATTTTGTTACGCGGGCATTTTGCCGTAACACGGGCAGAAATATTGCCGTTAAGTTCCTTCGTAACTTGAATTTTTCGTTAAATGGGGTATTCGTAAGTCAGGGTTCCACTGTATATTATATCTGAGTTGTCTTACATCTACTTTTCTCAACATCACATCCCTGATATCTTGTTTTTTTTTACTTAAATGATTGCCTTCATTGAAAATTTGCACTACCGTCGCAGTGGAAATGTCCCTGTTTTGTTTGAATTGTCTACCAAACACAGATGCGACAGAATAAATTTTCCTTTTGTGTGTTTTTTGCATCTTCATCACTTACAATGAACCTCTTTTTGGAATGAATTAGTAATAATGATAATAACTGTACCATCTGTTGTTAGAGTCTTTGTCCCTCAGTGTTTGCTTAAAAGCTGGAAAACAAACTCATAAACGAGATTCCACTTCATTTTTTTTTAAAAACAAAATCTACTTTTAAAACTTAAGTAGTTATACCGTGCACCCTTACACCCTGCAAATGAATGCAGGAGGATAATGCATTTATCTCGTTAATGTCGTTCTCCTTTTACCTTGTTTCTTTTTTTCTCTTTTTTTAAATGAATATTTTTCCCTTTTTGTGTCTTTGTGTCTCATAAGGCTCTTGTTATTTGAATGATGTTTCATACACTTGGCTTTCCTCAGCAAACAACTGTACAAAAGAATGAATGATATGAATGAATAATGAGTCTATTCAGGTAGACTGTCAAAACCTGCTCACTCTCCAGTTTGTTCTTATTTTTGTCAGATGTTTGTGTTCTCAACAGTACAGTTTCAACCTTTTCGTCAGATTAGACTGACAGGACTGAATAATGTATTTTCTTTTTCATTTGTAGATAAGTAGTGCTGAACTGTTTTTATTTGATACTGTCCTACTGTAGTTAAACTCTATAGTGCATTTTTTGTTTATGTTTATTTTTTTAAAACCTCAACTAAAAAAAACCCTGGAAAATGCTCTCTAATCCTCCAAATTATTTGTTAATTTATTGTTAAATCCCCCTGTGTCTCACAGGAAAATGGCTTTGCATACGTTTTATCTTGTGAAAAAGCTCTGATGAAAAAACATTTTGGTTTATTTTTGTTTAATTTGCAGTGTAGAGATGTTTAAAGATGTTTAACTACACATTTAATCTCTTAGATATCTTAAAATAAGATCAAGAAGTGCAATTTCAATAGCACATCTCAGTGTTTCTTTTTACTGAAAACTATTTTGAAATGTAATTGTTTATTTATTACTTAACTACTTTGGTGTAGCATGACTGGCTGTGGGGGAGGTCTTTATCATCAGGAAAAGCTGTAAAACCTATAAAAAATACAGTTAAAGGCCCACAAATGTTGGCCTGCTTCATATTTTCTAAAGCTGTCCAGCGGGCCGATTTGACAGGCCGATTCTCACACCTGTGATCTGAAGATTGAGTCATTAATGTCTGGTTTCACATGCAAAATAAGTACAAATAAATATGTGCAACTTTAAACACAACTATGAGAAAGGATTTGTTGTGCTATTATTGGATTAATTAAGATGTCATACTAGAGGTTATAGGAAGATTGAGTGAGGATGATTGTAGTACAACTGAGTACACTTTGAAATTTGGATTTAATTTAGTGTAAAATTGGTGTTGTTACTAGGGTTGCATTTAAACTATATTACATGACATCACCACGACATCACTAAATACTGCAGCAGAATAAGTGACTCATTGTGCTTATCGATGTAAAACTTGTTAGCTGTTTTGGTACTGCAAAGTTTCTTAAGAGTCAGGGTCAGAGTTGGTCAGGTCTGCTGAGTAGAACAGGCCACTAAACGCCATTGCACTAGTCACAGTGTATAAATTGTGAGATTTGCGGTAGAATATGAGTTTTATTTTTATTTATTTATTTTATACCTTAGACTGAGTAATGAAATAATACATTAAAGGCCCAAAAGTCCCAGGCCACTTACATATTTACACCTATTGGAGCTACTTGGCTATAGGAAACCATGCCGTCAGTCTCCTGTTGCACAGTTTTTGTGCTGAAGTTAACACCAGAGGAGGTTTGTAAATCTGCATCTTTACATGGTCTATAGCAGAGCTGAAGAAATTTCATGAACTCTTTTGTTACAGTGTTGTGCCATACAGTATTACAGTAGGTCTTTCTCTTCCACTCATTGTAAAGGTGGACTGCAGGTGCGTGATTTTATATTCCTCTAGCAATGGGATTAAAACTCTTAAATTCAAAGATAGATTAAAGGTTGTTACCCAGTGCTTTTGTCTGTCGTGTATAAGACATTAAATGATACTGAGAACTGTCATTTTAGCTGGTTACCTTGACATTTCACAGTTGAGCAGGAATACAAAGGTCAAAATATTTAAGAGGGTACAGAATGGTCCAAATTAGAGGAAAGTACTCAGATATAATTTACTGGTAATCTTTCTACTTATACCAAATGCACGCCATTTGCAGTTTAAAAGTAATTACAATGTAATTATATTAAAGCTTGATGAAATTTGCACTTTTTAAGGGTCCTTAGAAAGTGCAAAAATCTATCTAATGTGACAGGTGCCAAGTTGCATTAGATAGATTTTAGGAGACATTATGCCATTCCTGTAGAGCAAGTTCACTTATTTAGACTGAACTGTGCCAGCATATTGTACAAGGTTACTTTGCATTTGAATACATCTTTAAAAGTGGCATTTTTTTTTCTTGAAATTACAAGCTACAGTCAACAGATGGCAATCAACCGCAGTGCCCTCTAGCAACAGCCTGCAGACACTATTCATATGAGGGGTTTGAAAATGTCACAATGAAATGCATCTGTTGTGACACTGAAAGTCATATCATCCATTCTGGATGACACCTTTCAATGAATGATGAAGATCATATCATACATGCAACTCACCCATCATGGAATCATGCATTTACAAAGATGAATCGTTCAGGTAATTCGATTTTTTCTGTTTTGTTTTTTGTCTTTCGCTCGCATACCTTTGTCGTCTGGGTGAACTCCCTCAGAACCTTTTTTTCAGAACCGCCAACTTAACACGTAATGTGAAAGTGGGAGAGGGAACAGGACAGGTAAATATTAATCCTGACAAAAGCACCATGTTGGGTTGGAACTTCGACAGGATTATAACATATAATAGACATAAAACACCACAATATACAGTATATTCCCAGGAATCAAAAGCACAAACAGACAGACTTGAGCAGACCCAAATATTTAGAGACACATTGCACATCAAATCATTAGTCACAGACAAAAAATAAGACAGAGGTTAGCAATGTGTTGTTACAGCAAGCATGTAAATGCTGTACTGTACAACTGATGATTAGACATAGCTTCACACTTTCTTACGCATTTTCTCATGGTAGACATCTCAGGATGTTTCTTGTGCAGTGCTTGAGAGAAATTATGTATAAATAGAAAAGCAATTTGTGGAAAGATGATTTCAAATAAGCCTTCATTTTGTCTTCTATCAAACAGAGACACAATTTCATTTTCAGCTCCCTCTTTATTTGTGGCAGCTTCAAGTGTGTGTTGAATTAATCTTCGATGATCTTGCTTTGATCTTCCATGTCCCCAACGGTTGCATTGCCAGCATTGCTTCTCAGATGAATCCTGAGTATTCTTTGTCTTTGGTCATGAAGAAATCTTTTTTAAACATGATGAGAGCTTGTTTGCATCTTCTCTTGTGTTGTCAGTGATGCCGCTGATCATTTCTTTGATCGACATCTTCATTCGAGTGGAGAAGCTAGTGACTGAAAAATGACTTCTCTTCTTAGACAGAAAAAAAGAAGAAAAATAGCATCTGTTTTCTCATTGCCACACAAAATCTCGATATCTTGCAGGGATCTTGTATCGACTGCTTCCACTGAAGAAAATAGGCAGCTGTATTGTTTATCTTCTTTTTAAGTTGTTGGTGATGGCCTTCATATTACACATTTTATTGTAATTTTATTCTTTAAGTACCATTTGGCATGTCATTTTTACCTGTTGCTTTCTTGTCTTAATTATTCTTGAATGCAGTGTCACACAGCTCTTTAGTTTTAATAAAGTTTAGTTGTTTGCTGTCTGTGAGGAGGATCCTGTTCTTGTGTGTCACTGCAATAATAGAACGTACAGGGTGACAAGGTTGCAATACTAACCGTTGACTGGCTTCTTTACTTACCCGCCTGCCCAGTGGCAGTCTGATCGGTCACCTTTGACTTCTTTGACATCTTGGTTTTCTCTTGAGCTCTGCTGATTCAGAAGGCTCTGCACTAAAAGACAGAATAGGAAATCTAAAATCTACTGTACAAGTGTGGCTCAAATCAAATCCCTGATATAAGACATTTGTGTCAGAGTTTGAGGTGTTAGTCTTTTAATTTTGGGATTGTTTTCTTTTTGAAAATTTAAGCAGACGCCATTTAAAAGTTTTAATAGAGTAATGTAGTGCTTTTGAAGCAGACTGCTCTAATTACTTTTCCAGTGGCACAAAGTGATCATCAGCACCCGTTCAGCCAACGTCATTTACAGTGAATGTCAGACTTAACGTGGGATTATTCTGTGTCTCAGGATTCCTTTGCATACATTTGTTAATTAACCGAGGTGCTCAATGAAACCTCATATAAACATGGAGAAGATTTGGAATTAGATTGATAATGCTGCACACTGTACAGCAATAATTATATGATCACCCAGTTAATGACAATAACTTACATGCCAGTGTAAAATTTATAATTTTACAGACATTATACTGCAAACATTTTTAAACATTTTACTGTTCTTAGAAGAGTTCTGGGATCTTCTGTACAATTCTGGACGAAGTCGGTGACAAGGATCAAATGAAATTCAAAGGAAATTCTTTATATTTAATTGCTTAGGATATATGCTTATGACTGTGTAATGCCGCAAAATGATTTGAGGATAATTAATTTGGTGTGTGTGTGTGAAAATATACATCAAAGTTTTCCATAGTACTACATTTAGTGAGATTTCTTG